GTTTACCAAAATAAATCGATTACACAAAGTATAAAATCGATATAGGCTGTATGGCATATATGTCTTTTGTCTATCACAAGCAAAAAAAAATATATGACAGTGCCTTTAAATTTTTAATAGCAATAAAACTTATAAAAGTTGAAAATAATTTTATTAACAAACTACTCATACTAGGCTACTGTTATGAAATAGGAAATCAGTTGATGTAATTCTGAAGCTAATAAAAAAAAACCCGGTCTAGATACGTCAATTTTTTCGGGAGTTATCGTGACTACATACAAAATCAACACCCGGAGGTCTACGTAAAAAAATATTCAAACAGTTTTTTCTCAAACTGATTTTTTTTTAGAAAAAACATAGGATGGATCAATTAGTGTTTTCTTGATATACAGCAAATCATATTACCGTATAAGTGCAATATAGATAAGATAGAGACATTTTAAGAACACAAAACTCCTTGAGCTTGACTTGTTGAGAGTAGAGTGTGTTGGCGCAGTGGCTTAGGAATCAGTTGTTGCGCTGGAGGCCGCGGGTTCGAATCCCGCACGGAATAAGTATTTGTATAGCCTACAAATAATTGTTCCGGGTCTGGATGTTTGTCCTTGTGCAATTTATGTTTGTAAACTGCCTCCACGACACAGGAGAAAATCCTAGTGTGGGGGTAACATTTAAAAAAAAAAAAGAACACACCTATAACGCATCGCGATATGAGGCGTGCAAAAGTGAGCTTGCATTTCATTTAGTTGACAATAACATATAATATATAGTAGTAGAGAATGCTATAAGAAATACTGACTGCGGAGCAACAGCGGGCACGGGTGCGTGCAAATGCGCGGAGGCGGGCAGCAGAGCGGGCGCGGGCGCGTGCGCGGGGGCGGCGGCGGGCGCGGGCGCGGGCGCGTCGTACGCGGCGGGCGAGAGCGCGCGGCGGCCCGCCATCACGGCGAAGGACGAGCCGCGTTCGGGCGGCGCCGGCGGGCACACGCTCACCCCCGCCACGCCCTCGGTTATCTCCGACATGCGGATCTCTTCCATGGTCTATGCACAACACTTCTTATTATAATCCACATAAACTTACTACAAGAGTATAATATTAATACTAGTTTATTCACTTAAAAATTATGTATCGTATTTAGGTTGGTAATTTTTCGTTATCTTTACGCAAATACCCTTGCAGTATAATGCTCTATAACCAATGTGTTCAACGTTTTTAACGCGTTTTGAAACATTGTCAGTTAAATTACAGGGAAAAAGCGCATACTTGACATTGGCATTAGAATCAAAATTGTCATATTTCATTCATTCAAACTGTTTTATTAAAAATTTACTGTGTGAGATGAATTTAAGAGAATACAACGGATCAGTGCATTCCATTAATGTTATTACAGAAGACTCAAGGAAAAATTGGCTTAAACGTCGAAATAGCAGTCAAGCAGCATTAGAATCGACACAATCATATTGTCTGCCTATTTTCTTATATATTTCGATATTTATGCAGTATCAAGGGAAAAGCGGAGATTGCGAAGGGTCGTTACTAGGATCATCAATACATCTGCTAAATCCAATGATTCTGGCTGTTGCTTATAACTTATGAGTAAGATGCAATAATTAAGGGTTAAGCTGTTTGTTACTTGTTTTGTTTATGTTGCTAAAGAGACCGTTAACCAAATAGTGGTGGTGTAAGATTATTTACTACCCCATATCGTCTCGTAGTGTCGTAAGAAACGAAAGAGAGAAACTGACAGTACTCAAAAATACACAAAACTGCGGTTGCCGAACGTGACAATGGCAGAATCTCCCCTATGACGCTTTGGCTGTAGACGGAAAAGAGGAAATTTCCCGCCAGGCAAGATGTTCAGCCCGGGGAGCGGCCAACGCTCCATGTGGTATTTCGGAGCAATTCTATATATACCGCAGTACTTCAGAACTTTGATAGCGGTATTTAGGCTTCGGTGTGTTTCGCTTGTTGTGTGACGACAACGCCGTCACAAGGCTATCTGTGGGGAAGGCGTATATTCAGTAGTGGACTTTTATGGAAAAGACTGTAATGGAAAGAAGACACAAAATAAGTAACAGAACACAGACCGTGTCGGTGGCATATCCGTTGGTGATGTCAGTGCGGTGGTTGGACTTGAGTATGGACTTGGGCGGCTGCGGTTGTTGCTGGGGATGGGGCTGCGGCTGCTGCTGGTGCTGTGGCTGGTGCTGCGGCGGGTGCTGCGGCTGGTACGGTGGCTGGTGTTGTGGCGGGTGCTGCGGCTGGAGCTGGGGCTGGTGCTGCGGGTGGTGCTGCGGCTGGAACTGGCCGCGCTCGTGCTCGGGTGGCGGCTGCGGCTGCGGCGAGGGCGAGCGCGAGTTCGAACGCGACTCGCATTCTTCGTCCGCGCACTGCTCCCCGCCACCGGCTTCGTCCTGCGTAACACACGCCACATCGCTACTCATCAACGCAATACCACAAACCTAACACTAAATATTTCTTCAACACACGCTCTCACAGAATACAAGCGTAAACACAAGTCAAGTGCGATTCGGACTCACGCATGAAGGGTTCCGTACCGTGTATCGTACAAGATTTAATACAATGTACGCAAAAAAAAAAACACGTTTCTAATACGGAAAACCGCCTTTAATTTTTAATTTATTTTTATTTTTTGTTGTTATAGAGGCAACATAAATACACATTCTGTGAAAAATTCAACTGTCTACCTATTACGGATCACGAGATACAGCCCGCTGATAGACAGACGGATGCACGACCGGACGGACGAACAGCTGAGGCTTAGTAATAGGATCCCGTTGGTTGGTCTTTAAAATTTAAGAGCACCGCTACGTGGTTACACGCAACGTGTACGAAAAAGACCCGGCGCGTGATTCCGTTTTCATACAATTATATAATATATAAGTGCCGCTGCGTGACGCGGACTGCACGCACCCTTTTTACTGGAAAAGAAGCATTCCAACTTAGTCCTCATGGGTGCAACGCATCTGCATTATGATTCTTTATTGAGGATGTAGATGTCTATGGGCCACAGCAACCACTTACCATCAGGTGGACTGTGTGCTCGTTTATCACCCTTATTCAATAAAAAAATAAAATAAAATAAAAAGAGATAATAAAAGTAAAATAAATTGGGTATGGATATATCTATACGCATACATATAAATGTATTTCGTAAACAAAATGAATTAAACTATGCGTAGAACAATAATATACCAAAAATAAACTGTTAACTAGAATTTTACATACGTGTTCGTGTTGTGTAGCTCGGCGTTCGAAGTCTCTTTCCAATTGCAAGGCGCGCAACTGCTGGTTTTGTACAGGAGTGCGTGACGACCCTAGTGCTAAAAGCTGTGCTATAGCTGCGTCCCTGTAATGATTATTAATAAACAGTGTTATTAATGTACTTCATTCTTGTAGATCTATAAAAAAAGTTATAATTTATTTACAAATTATTACTTGTTTGCAGTAAAAATGTTAAAATTTTATACCAAATATTATTCAAGACTGACGTAAAATCGCAGCATAATGCTGTTGTGTTTTCTATGTTGAACAACGGAACGAGAGATCTTTTTAACTGGTAACGAGGTATTTAATTTCAATCATCAGAGTTGACATGGTATCTGCATATTAATTTTCAATCCAAGCTAGAGGTGTGTTTATGAACCGCTACATCTATTTAAATTAAGAAAAAATTCCACAACACAATAATAATACACGGCCGTGTGTCAAGGTGCATCGTTGGTAGAGTTGTCTGTAATCGATTGAGGATACTACTAACGTGTCGAAAAAGCATTTACTGTCGTTGATGTGTGCTTAAGACTGGGTCCCTGCTTGTATTTTGTTTTATACACTACATAAAAAATAGTTACATAAAAAAATAATTTCGGTTTTGTTTCCTTTTACATTTATCGATATAACAATAATTGTTTTGATTTCCACGCCAGATGGGAAATAACTACATACATTTTAAATATAATATGTATATTAGCAGTAGAGAAAGAGTCTATATAACATTACATATTTTGAGTAGTGTGGAATCACGGTTCTTCTGGTCTAACTGACTCATAGATGGGCGGAGGCAGTAGAGTCCAAGGGGTAGGCATTGGCCGTTAGCTTGGACATAGCGAAGGCCTTCGATCGGGTCTGGTACAAAGCGCTTCTTTCGAAGCTTCCTTCCTATGGGCTTCCCGAGAAATTTTGCAAATGGACAGTGGCGTAGCAATGTAACCAAGGGCCCCGGGGCAAAAATGAAATTGGGGCCCTATTTATACTAAACTAAATACTTTAAAGGTGCAAAACCTCTTCATCATCAGCTCCTTATCGCTCCCTGCAGTACATAATAAAGCAAAGCTACTTACTACTAAGTATTATGTGTAATGCATAAACAATGACGATGATTACAGATAGGCAGACAACATAACAGTGGAAGGGCCACACGGCAACTTTTGCTATCGCACGGGTGAGCCAAACTAGACGGAGTACCGACCTGGTAAGACATGAAATGAAGAGATGTAATGAATGAATGTAATGAATGGGTCGACCGGCTCGAACCGAGGATACCCACGACCTTACAGATAACAAGAACCAGATAAGTTGAAGTTTACTTCGCCTGTTAAATGCAGGTGATCGGAGGCCTAACTCCTCTTCCTCTTAACATGGTAGTGTAATTAAATAAGAAACCATCCCAGGAGGGTACCAGCACCCCTGGTATTGTAGAATCCCTGGCTGAGCATCGACACCCAAGCTACCCTACTCTTCCTTAGCGCGGGTGCTCAGGCTGCCTCGCATATTCTGGGGAGGGGGAGGGGGGCGAAATAGACGGCGAAGCCGACCTTCCTCTCTCTAACCGAGACACAAATGTCCTCCGGTTGATACTTCTCTCCTTTTTGGGGTACAAATTATAACACTTTTACCTTGGGTTGGAGTTTACGTATACGTCAGAGAGGATATCTGTTCTCTACGCCTCGGCAATCTTGAAGGTCAGCGACGACCATCCTCGCGTCTACGGGTGCCTCTATAGGTAATGCCGACACAGACTAACTCATCGACCACATCCAAATCGCTGCAGACTCCGTGCTATAACAGGTCCCATCTGCAGAGATCGTGATCCTTGGTGATTTTAACGACCACCACGCTGAATGCCTTGGTTCTCGTTTAACCGATCATGCGGCTGTTTATGACTTATATTTATATGCCTTGGCATATGGTCCAACACAAATGATTACTTCACCTACGCGGATTCTAGATGTGGAGGATCGTGCACCTTTCCTGTAGGACCTTCTGATGTCCTCTCATCCGGACGGATATCAGGTCTCCGTCGACGCCCCTCTTGGCTCATTGGACCATTGTCTAATCCGGACTATGGTGCTCATAAGGTTGAGGATAACCAACTGAAAAGTGACCGCCAGTACGATTTCCATCGGGGTTGCTGATGCAGCTGGTGATCTTCTAGCATACCTGACTCATAAATCGGTGGAGGCAGAGAGGAAGACCCTAGCCGTTAGTTCGAACATAGCGAAGGCCTTCGATCGGGTTTGGCACAAAGCGCTTCTTTCGAAGCTCCTTTCCTATGGGCTTCTCGAGAATTTGTGCAACTGGATCAGCAGTTTTCTTGCAGATTGGGGCAATAAAGTCGTAGTAAAAGGTGCATGCTCCATTTACAAGCCTATTTATGCTGTTGTTCCACAAGGCTACGGGTACGACTTTCCATTGACGTCCGTCAAGTTGGGGGTCGAAACTGTGGAGGCGAGGAGAGATGCCTGCGATTTGTTACGCAAAGGCGTAGAGGCTGCTCTTCCCGCAGCGTCGGAGACGTTGCAGTCTCAAAATAGATATAGAAATCCCTCTTAATCAGTCCCCCTATTTTTACTGATGAAGGGGATTTTTTCTCATAAAATGGATTTATATTTACATTATAAATGCAAACATGAAAAAATATCGAAATGTTTGAAATCGACTTTTTGTGAATCAATACATCAGCTTACGATTCGAATCGATTTATTAAATCGAAAGAATCTACATCCCTACTGACGATGACAATGACAATACAAAATAGCGTCAGTTTTACCGTAGAAATTGACATAAATATTGCAAAAATAATTGATTTTCAATAATTTTTTTCTCAAAAGTACGCGTCTCTGAATGTCGAAACTTTGTGTGTGTGCTTATAATAATGTAACCTTTCTGTAAAAAAATATCAACCCCCAACACGACGGACGTCAATGGAAAGCTAAGCCAGGTACGTGCTTATCATATACGATGTTTCTTCTGCTTATCAATAAAATGTTGCAAACCAGTAACGTGCACTGGTGATGCTTTGCCGGCTGTGCCTATATTTCTCGGGAAAACGTCGCCGAGTACCGGAATAACTTGTGTCTGAAGTCGGGTTTTTGCCGGATAAGGTCTCTGATTGGGACGACTAAATCTAATTAAGTTCAATGCCCAGAAGCTACAAGTATGCGCGTTTATCACTAAAAAGACCACCTTTGTCGTAACTCCCCAATTTCAGGGCACTCCCCTTTTACCTCAGCCAGTAACGGAATCTTCGGCGTTAACATATCGAATAAAGTGCAGTGTCGTGGTCACTTGGAAGGGAAGGCTGAATTAGCCTCTAAATAGCTTGGCTTGCTCAGCAGAGCCGGACAGTATTTTATGCTGGCACACATCTTGCAACTTTACAAGGGGCAGGTTCGGCCTAACATGGAATACTGTTCTCATCCCCGGGCCGGGGCTCCCTAGTACCAGCTCCTTCCCCTTGACCGCATCCGATACGACTTAGGGAGCTTCAAGAAACGAGCTTACTCTTAGGGAGCTTCAAGAAACGAGCTTACTCTTTTTTAAAAAGCCGGCAACGCGCCTGCTATTCCCATGGTGTTGTATTTGTTAACAGGCGGTGGTAGACACTTGCGATGGCAAGTGTCGACCACAGCCTGGTGAGCCGCATGCTCGTTTGTCCCACTCTTATATATAAAAATGTCATTAAAACGAACTAGACAATCATCTGTAACAATGTTATATTTAATTTCTGGAAGTGGAAGGAATTTTTGTGATTTCAGTTCGAGCCGTTCACGGTCAGGAACCAAAAAGTTAAAACTCGAAAATTATTTATACAACTAGGATAGTACATAATTTTGCGAACGTCGTTCTTGGAGGCCGAGGGCCCCTTTAGCTTGGGGGCCCCGGTGCACTGACCCGCCTAGCCCCTGGGTAGCTACACCACTGCAAATGGATCACCAGTTTCCGTGCTGATCGGAGCATCAAGGTCGTAGTAGACGGTGTATGCTCTGATGTCAAGTCTATAAACGCTGGTGTTCCACAAGGCTGCGTGCTGTTTCTCCTGCATATCAATGATATGTTGCAAACTGGCGACATACATCGATATACAGACGACAGCATTGGTGATGCCTTATATACCGGCCTTGCCAATGTTTCTCGGGAAAACGTCGCCGAGGATCGGGACTAACTCGTGTCTAAAGTCGAGTCTTTGCTGAAGAAAGTCTCGGATTGGGTGCGACTAAATCTAGTCCAGTTCAATTCCAAGAAGACACAAGTTTGCGCGTTTACCGCTAAAAAGTACCCCTTTGTCATATCTCCTCAGTTTCAAGGCACTACCTCAGCTAGCATCGGAATCCTCGGCGTCGATATATCGAATAGTGTACAGTTTCGTGGTCACTTGGAAGGGAAGGCCAAATTGGCCTCTAAAAAGCTTGGTGTGCTCAGCAGAGTGAGACAGTATTTCATGCCGGCACATCGCTTGCAACTTTACAAAGCGCAAGTTCCGCCTCACATGGAATACTGTTCTCATCTCCGGGCCGGGGCACGGCCTGGCGCTCGCGCTCCTCGCGCTGCCACGGGTTGTGCGCCGCGCCGCGCCCCGCGCCGCCCGCCGCCCCGCCGCCCGCCCCGCCGCCCCGACAGTACTGCGTGCGTGCGTACCTGCGCGCGCGTGCTGCGGCCCGGCGCGCCTCGGCCTGGCGCTCGCGCTCCTCGCGCTGCCACGGGTTGTGCGCCGCGCCGCGCCCCGCGCCGCCCGCCGCCCCGCCGCCCGCCCCGCCGCCCCGACAGTACTGCGTGCGTGCGTACCTGCGCGCGCGTGCTGCGGCCCGGCGCGCCTCGGCCTGGCCCTCGCGCTCCTCGCGCTGCCACGGGTTGTGCGCCGCGCCGCGCCCCGCGCCGCCCGCCCCGCCGCCCCGACAGTACTGCGTGCGTGCGTACCTGCGCGCGCGTGCTGCGGCCCGGCGCGCCTCGGCCTGGCGCTCGCGCTCCTCGCGCTGCCACGGGTTGTGCGCCGCGCCGCGCCCCGCGCCGCCCGCCGCCCCGCCGCCCCGACAGTACTGCGTGCGTGCGTACCTGCGCGCGCGTGCTGCGGCCCGGCGCGCCTCGGCCTGGCGCTCGCGCTCCTCGCGCTGCCACGGGTTGTGCGCCGCGCCGCGCCCCGCGCCGCCCGCCGCCCCGCCGCCCGCCCCGCCGCCCCGACAGTACTGCGTGCGTGCGTACCTGCGCGCGCGTGCTGCGGCCCGGCGCGCCTCGGCCTGGCGCTCGCGCTCCTCGCGCTGCCACGGGTTGTGCGCCGCGCCGCGCCCCGCGCCGCCCGCCGCCCCGCCGCCCCGACAGTACTGCGTGCGTGCGTACCTGCGCGCGCGTGCTGCGGCCCGGCGCGCCTCGGCCTGGCGCTCGCGCTCCTCGCGCTGCCACGGGTTGTGCGCCGCGCCGCGCCCCGCGCCGCCCGCCGCCCCGCCGCCCGCCCCGCCGCCCCGACAGTACTGCGTGCGTGCGTACCTGCGCGCGCGTGCTGCGGCCCGGCGCGCCTCGGCCTGGCGCTCGCGCTCCTCGCGCTGCCACGGGTTGTGCGCCGCGCCGCGCCCCGCGCCGCCCGCCGCCCCGCCGCCCGCCCCGCCGCCCCGACAGTACTGCGTGCGTGCGTACCTGCGCGCGCGTGCTGCGGCCCGGCGCGCCTCGGCCTGGCCCTCGCGCTCCTCGCGCTGCCACGGGTTGTGCGCCGCGCCGCGCCCCGCGCCGCCCGCCCCGCCGCTCCGACAGTACTGCGTGCGTGCGTACCTGCGCGCGCGTGCTGCGGCCCGGCGCGCCTCGGCCTGGCGCTCGCGCTCCTCGCGCTGCCACGGGTTGTGCGCCGCGCCGCGCCCCGCGCCGCCCGCCGCCCCGCCGCCCGCCCCGCCGCCCCGACAGTACTGCGTGCGTGCGTACCTGCGCGCGCGTGCTGCGGCCCGGCGCGCCTCGGCCTGGCGCTCGCGCTCCTCGCGCTGCCACGGGTTGTGCGCCGCGCCGCGCCCCGCGCCGCCCGCCGCCCCGCCGCCCGCCCCGCCGCCCCGACAGTACTGCGTGCGTGCGTACCTGCGCGCGCGTGCTGCGGCCCGGCGCGCCTCGGCCTGGCGCTCGCGCTCCTCGCGCTGCCACGGGTTGTGCGCCGCGCCGCGCCCCGCGCCGCCCGCCGCCCCGCCGCCCGCCCCGCCGCCCCGACAGTACTGCGTGCGTGCGTACCTGCGCGCGCGTGCTGCGGCCCGGCGCGCCTCGGCCTGGCCCTCGCGCTCCTCGCGCTGCCACGGGTTGTGCGCCGCGCCGCGCCCCGCGCCGCCCGCCCCGCCGCTCCGACAGTACTGCGTGCGTGCGTACCTGCGCGCGCGTGCTGCGGCCCGGCGCGCCTCGGCCTGGCGCTCGCGCTCCTCGCGCTGCCACGGGTTGTGCGCCGCGCCGCGCCCCGCGCCGCCCGCCGCCCCGCCGCCCGCCCCGCCGCCCCGACAGTACTGCGTGCGTGCGTACCTGCGCGCGCGTGCTGCGGCCCGGCGCGCCTCGGCCTGGCGCTCGCGCTCCTCGCGCTGCCACGGGTTGTGCGCCGCGCCGCGCCCCGCGCCGCCCGCCGCCCCGCCGCCCGCCCCGCCGCCCCGACAGTACTGCGTGCGTGCGTACCTGCGCGCGCGTGCTGCGGCCCGGCGCGCCTCGGCCTGGCGCTCGCGCTCCTCGCGCTGCCACGGGTTGTGCGCCGCGCCGCGCCCCGCGCCGCCCGCCGCCCCGCCGCCCCGACAGTACTGCGTGCGTGCGTACCTGCGCGCGCGTGCTGCGGCCCGGCGCGCCTCGGCCTGGCGCTCGCGCTCCTCGCGCTGCCACGGGTTGTGCGCCGCGCCGCCCGCCGCCCCGCCGCCCGCCCCGCCGCCCCGACAGTACTGCGTGCGTGCGTACCTGCGCGCGCGTGCTGCGGCCCGGCGCGCCTCGGCCTGGCGCTCGCGCTCCTCGCGCTGCCACGGGTTGTGCGCCGCGCCGCGCCCCGCGCCGCCCGCCGCCCCGCCGCCCGCCCCGCCGCCCCGACAGTACTGCGTGCGTGCGTACCTGCGCGCGCGTGCTGCGGCCCGGCGCGCCTCGGCCTGGCGCTCGCGCTCCTCGCGCTGCCACGGGTTGTGCGCCGCGCCGCGCCCCGCGCCGCCCGCCGCCCCGCCGCCCCGACAGTACTGCGTGCGTGCGTACCTGCGCGCGCGTGCTGCGGCCCGGCGCGCCTCGGCCTGGCGCTCGCGCTCCTCGCGCTGCCACGGGTTGTGCGCCGCGCCGCCCGCCGCCCCGCCGCCCGCCCCGCCGCCCCGACAGTACTGCGTGCGTGCGTACCTGCGCGCGCGTGCTGCGGCCCGGCGCGCCTCGGCCTGGCGCTCGCGCTCCTCGCGCTGCCACGGGTTGTGCGCCGCGCCGCGCCCCGCGCCGCCCGCCGCCCCGCCGCCCGCCCCGCCCACCGCGCCCGCCGGGTACACCGACACCGCCGGCGGCTCCAGCGCGCTCGCCACGTACCGCTCTGCGCACCATGCACATTACACACCCCGCTATGCTACTTCACAATTCACAACATTATACACATACAACACCCTAAATAAATTCATAGTTTTATTAAATTACTTTATTTTTCCCCAAACTGAATTTTCGCCGTAGCAGCCAGTCGCAACGATGTATCAACATCTGTGCATGACAGGATCATAGTGCACCTGAGTATACGCAAACACAGCAGATGCAATCTCATAGTCCGATGGACCGGCACACCGACACAACCGGAGAGAAATCAGATATAGAACCGCAAATGTCCAAACTTTAAACTACTACTAAAATTTCTGACAAAAAAAGCCAATTTTGACCCGCAGTCGCATTTACTACCTACCAATAGGCTAACGAGGTAATCAAATAAAACGACTAAATTGAAAAAACCAGAATATTATTTTACTGGCTAGAATATTCTTTATGGAATATCTAAACATATTTGTTAATTAAAAACAAAACAATAATTAAAATATTTTTTTCTAAACATACACTGTGCTGGCTATAGTAAAAAGGACATAAACCCACGACAACCATGTGTTTATTCATCTGTATTGCATAAGGATAACTTCCATTGTTGAAAGTTATCAACTATACAGAATATGTACTGCCAAAAACGCAATTAATATTTAATATAAAATAAAAACTACATTAAAATTTCTAAAGGTCAAATTATGAAAAAATGTAGTGAAATCCGGGTCGTGGAATATCGTGCAACTATAACTAAACCTAATAGTAATTACGAAAAAAGTTAAATGCTTTCAACTTTCGTTTTATCATAATTTATTAATAATAATAATTATAGTCTTTACCGTCTTCTGGCTGCACTGTAGTTGTCATTTGTGATTGTTGTAGTTGCTGTTGAAGCTGATCTTCTTCACTCTCCGAACGCCTTGTGCCCTTTTAAGTTCATTAAAGTCGGTTATTGAGAAATTTGATCACAGTAAATGGGTGTGACGGCTATTACTTTAATTTTCACTATATTTTTTTACTTTGAAAAGAAAAATATACAAGAACAAACTTTATCATTTAATTCAATAAAAAAAGCAGAAAATGGGGGGCGGAAATACCAAAGTAATAAAACGCACAAATGGCAACATAACAAATAATAAATATAATTAAACTTTAAAATAATGTTGCATTAAAGATTTTATTAATTAATGCATTCAAGTTTAGTATATAAAATTATATGAAAGTTAATGTACCTGTGGCTTGGGAGCAATTGGCGGTTGGGATCTTTGTGGTGAAGGCGGACCCGGTGGATGCCAGTCGTATCTGTGATGAAATATTAAATGCTCCAAGCTTGAAAACTACTTATTATATTTTTGCTTCTAAAAAGAAGCAACATTTAATATTTTTACTCCACATTTACTAATATAATTATTAAATATCTTGCACAAAATAAAAAAAGGCAAACCATACAAAAATGGGCAGAACTGTGGTTTACTGAATATTGAATGTCATCTCAACATTCAATATATTAATTATAATAATTTTCATTGAATAAAACTACTATTACGGATTTTTTCGCGTTTAATTAACTTATTTATCTAATTTTTATTTACTCCCGACGTTTCGAGTGCTTTACAGCACCCGTGGTCACGGGGGCTGAAGTGACTGACGTCCCGATGTCAGAGTTAACCCGGAGTACCTTCAGCTTTTTTAATTATTAATTTTGGTCCGATCTATGCAGAATAAATAAAAATAAGATAAATAAGTTAATTAAACGCGAAAAAATCCGTAAAAGTAGTTTTATTCAATGTGTAGTGTTCGCGTAAATATAAGTAATCATTAAATCATTTTCATGTTAATATACCCACTAACCTATGCGGCTGATTATGTTGGTTGTGATACGAGGATGGAGGACTCTGCACAGTTTGCACATGCATATACTGCTGCACGTTCTGGCCCTGATGACCAGCGGATAATTGCGGCGACGACTGCTGAGGGTAATGCATCGAGCTCTGGTGGATGTGCATCTGACTTTGACTCAGCTGACCCAAGTGATGACCCAGTTGGCCGGGATGGTGACTGAGTTGACCTGCTTGTTGACCCATTTGTCCAGTGTGTTGACCTCCTTGATTCAATTGAGTCGAATGTTGACCAAGTGAACTCGGATGGTGACCGGGATGATTTGTTTGGTGAAGTTGATTTAACTGTAGGTCGAGTTGGCTTGTTTGGTAGTTGGGTTGACCCATTTGGTTCGGAATTTGGCCTGGCTGGTGTCCAAGCTGGTTATTTAGGTGGCTCATTTGACTTGGATGTTGAATTTGCCCCATCTGATGGCCAAGTTGACCTGGGTGCTGGTTAAGCTGGGTGTGTTGATGCGGCAGAGTAAGTTGTTTCTGCTGGGACATCAGTTGTTGTTGTTGCTGCTGCTGCTGTCGTCTTGTCACTTCTTCTGACATTTCCGCTAACTTAGCCGCCCTGATACTAGCAGTGCTAGATGTGCTGGCCTGAAAAATTACACTATGATACAGTGTCCACTAGTTTACAAATAAAATTGTTTAAATTCAGTGCAGTATTTATAAATGATATTTTTATGACAATAACGGTCTTCAATAATTGTCTATTAGTACTTAATTCTTACCTGTTGATGTATAGAAGCATCAGGCTGTGATTCCGTACCACCTGCTGCAAAATGAGCGGACTGAGGACGACTGCCACTGCGATAGTTCCACCATCTAGGTAAGTTAGCATTATGTATAGATCTTTACTTTAAAATGTAAATGAAACAATAATTTATTTTATAATAATAACAATAAAACTTTGAAATAATAACTTAAGCTGATAGGCCGCGCAAATGATAAAAAAAAAAAAAAACAAGTATACAGGGCTATTTAAACGTGGCATATTTCTGCGGAAAGTGTAGCGTCTTCACTTGTTTGGTGGAACTGTTGCACATATGTTGATGGATTTGTGTGTCCCACAGGGATTGTAGTTTAACATTTACGAATGCCTGATTTTTTTGTTACTCACAGGCTCGTGTTTTGTTCATTGTAATTCGAAATTCTTGGTCTTAGTCAAATTTGGTCAAAGTATCCCTAAATACGTACAAGTTAATTTTTAATAACATTAGAGCAACAAACAATTTAAAAGTTAACCTAATAGCGGAATGTCACAGGAACGTTGCCATAATCACGGTCTTTGTTGAAATGTTTGTCGGTTTCTAACATATTACTAATACTGGCTATAATACCCTTCAAACCAGAACACAATTGATACACTGTTGCTTGGCGGCAAATAAGGGTCAGAAAGGCTATCAAAAAGCGTCAAAAGATTGTGTACCATTCCTGACGTCCAAACAACAATTACAACAATACATTGTGTCGTACTCTTACGACGTTTAAAATGAAGAATAAATAGTTAGCGTATTGTGTGGTACAAGTGGTAGGGAAAATGGGTAGTCAAGTGGCACCTGTCCTGCTGCGCGTGCTGGTGCGAGGCGACGGCGGCGAGGTTCTGGTAGAAGGCGTCGGCGTGCGCGGCCGCGCTCAGGTTGTGGCTGCTGCGCGACCGCCCCGCCGCGCCCGCCGCGCCCCCCGCACCCGCCGCGCTCAGCGTGCCGCTGGGTACAAACAGTGCCCACACTTAAAGCTTTATTTAACTTACGCTTAAAGCCTCGGTCACACATAGCGAATAATTCGCTGTGTGTGACAGGCTATTCGCTGCGATTAGATTCCTTCGCCGCGAGTTGAATTCGCTGTGAATTGAATTGAACATGTTCAATTTCTCTCTCTGCGAATGAATTCTCGCTGCGAGAATTCGCTGTGTAACTAGGTATTAGCTGCAAGTAGCCATTCTGCTCCAGACTACACGCCTGTGCATAGGTCGTTTCGTTACCGCATGATACGTGTGTGTCGGTCAATCAAATGAGTAAACCGATAAAAGATTCTCTGAAATGGGGCAATTACGATATAATTCGTATCTTGGGTGTATATAGAAAAAATGGTGAGCTGTTTGACACAAATAACAGTAATTTAAAGAAACACAAGGGCAACCGCCTTTATTGTTTAACGAATTAATTGAGTTGGGATGCGAAATAGCAACCCAAGAGCAATTGAAAAGAAAATTTAAGAATATAAAAGATACATATTATAGATAATTCTCATGTAGTACTCGCTGTGTGTAACATGCAGGCAGCAAATTGTTGTTAAATACTGAGTACCAACACTAAATAGCTCTGAGTGGAGGCGGCCCTCACACTCAAATTACACTCAACTATAGGAAATAACCTGAAGATATCTGGTACTGCAATCGTCAATCTGCTTATCTAGCTCAAATTACGCAATTGCTCAATCATCGCATATGCGAATACTTTTTAATAGCTATGTAGATTAAAGAAAATGTAATAAGTAAAATGCAACAAAGCTGTTTATGTTCCTAATAAAAAGAATATTTTAAACGACAGGAAAGATTTATATTCAGTAGTGGCTTATTACAATGTATAGCATTATTTATTAAAGAATTAGTATATTATTTAAATAACTAGTGCAAAACATTCAAACTAATGTAAATTATTTATAAATAATGTTTTTTTTCTTCTTATTTACTATGAGCTTCTATTTGACTACCATCCCATCTGACGATTAGTTGTGACGTAGCACAAGCTGTTAAATCTTATTGTATTAGCATAAAAAAAATCTATTCATTCTTGCCTTGAGACATCAAAATTGAATCGAACAGAAAATCAAATGTTGGTAACTAATTCGACTCTTTTGCTGTACGCATTACAAAAGACAAAACAAATCGTTTGGTTCGAATTCGTGAAATATTGACTGCAGAGGTGAGACTCATTGGCCATTTGGTTATGCAATTATATAATGTATATTTTTCATTATCATCATTATGACAAAACAAAGAAGAGCTTTTCTGTGTATAGTAAAAGTTAGTTAACATGTGCGTGGGAAAAAAATAATGAAGAGCTTATTCTGCTTTGGTCACGAACATATGCACGATTATATTTTTGCCAGTGTTAAGTAATAAGAAATTATCCTAAATATTTTGTTAAAAAAATCATAATATATCTATGCGTCAGATTGAGAAATTCTTAGGAGATTTTGATGACAGTTAAACTCAACGGATAGTCGATGACGTATCTAAAGTTCTTAAGGCGCCTACGCAGATAAAGAAAACTTGAGATTTTTATGAACATCGGAGTACTTGTTTTGTCATTTCCAGAAATAGTTTTCATGTGTAGACACTTAATACACAAAATTGTGTCACTTTTATGTATCAAAACCGGTTTAAAATGATGTAAACGGTATAACAGGAGTAAGAACCCGGCAGCGGTCAAATTTCCGTAAAAAGTCGTCGAGTTCCTGTGTGAAGACATGAAGACAGTAGTTAGTTACCTATGCGAGGGCTGTGCGTGTTGCGGTGCGGGCGCGAGGTGTGCGGGGTGTGCGGGGTGCGCGGGGTGCGCGGGGTGCGGTGCGGCGGGCGGCGCGGCGTGGTGCAGCGCGGGCGTGCTCTTGCTGGGCTTGACGGGCTCGGCCGCCAGCCGCGCCGGCAGGTCGCGCTCCGACGCGCGCCGCACGGCCCCGCCGCCACCTGCCGCACGCACGCAACACTTACACCGCGCTCATGGCTACACGCGCACAACCACTATCACAACTTTCACCTTTTATAATTAATAAATAACATTTTTAAACAGTCTATAGAGAGGTTCATACGGCGTCATGATAGTTAATTAGACCCCTGACCCCATGACTCGTATTAATTTAAACTGACAAAAAGTAAGCCTATTAATATGGCTAAATCAAAACCCCACCAAGAATATAGACTTTTAAACATTATTGCCCTTTCTGTCATACAACACTACCAGTCATTAATTACATAAGTAAATGATCAAGACTGGAGTAATTTGACTGATACCAATGTTATCTTGTGTATATTTTAAAAATATATGATGATCTCATGAAAGATACATGAAAAAATTGTAACAAACGATAAACGAATACTAAAAATTACTCATACATCATACATCGCAGTAGTGTTTTCGGCCAGTACCACAGATGAGACCGCGAGTACTCAACAGGAACATTACGTACATTTATTAACGAAAAACAGTTACTAGAAGTAAAATATTAAAAAAAAAAACGAAGCTACTACGACACTGTAATATATGAGATTTCATTAAACAATGAAAGAAAAAACAATCTAAGCCTTCAATTGAAAACCGAAGTACAATTAAATGACTATAATTATTATGTCTGTCTAACTAAATGGCTGTTGAAAGAAAGCCATCTTATGGTACGAATGACATTTTATTTACTTAAAAAATATAAATTTAACTATACTCAAAGCAAATAAAGGTACCAGAACTTAATTAATTTATATCACTACTTCGACATATTTATGAAAAAATGTAATCAAAATCTTTTCAATCAGATAAAATTAGTAAAATAATTGCTTAGGATGTTTAAGAGTTCACCATCTGAATGAAAGTTAAAATCCATTTACTTATTGAATAAAACTATGTTTACAGATTTTACCGCGTTTAATTTACTTATTTTAATTCCCAAAGTTTAGATGTTTGACGTCCCCTTGACATAGTTAACACAGCTACCTTCAGTTTTTGAATATTAATATTTGGTTCGATCTACGCAGAATGAGCTTACAATATCTTGAAGTCTTGCAATGGTATACTTGGGTTTGGATTTAATTTTGTTAATTATAGGATCCCAAGCAGATGGCAGCACCCATCCATCTTCTCTAATGAAATTAGGATGTTTTTAATTTCAATAGTCTCGCGTATCATTCGTGGTAGAAATCGGTGTTCTTTTGCCAGGTTGTCTAACAAATCTGACGACATAGCGGGCTAACTATGACATCGGGACGTCAAACATCTCGGTTCCCCCCGTTCCCTGTGACCATGGGTTGCTGTAAAATACGTAAATTAAACGCGATAAAATCCATACACATAGTTTTATTCAATGTGTAGTGTTCGTGTAAATATAAGAAATCAATTTACTTATCTACTTAACTAGAGTAAAGTAGCAGAAAATAAAATATAACTTCACATATTTTTTTTAAATTTGGTCATGCAATGCAATTATTTCTTCCTAGGTGGTGAATTATTTTTTGTATGTGTAAATATATATACGCGAGGCGATTAAAAATTAAATTAAATTAAAAGGAAACGAAATAATTGGCCAATTTCAATTTGTTATCACAAAATATTTACGAAGCAGACTTTATCAAGATCAAAGAGATAAAAAGAAAATATAATCTAATAATACTAAATCCACGAGTAACAGCAAAAATTGTGCACAAAACCTGAAAATAAAAAAAATACTGTACATCGATTCACCCATGCAACAGCAGACGTAACAAAAATATACCACAAATTAAAAGTGTTTGTGCGTTGGCCTAAAACACACCTATTTCATGCGTGTGTATGTCTTACACGGTGTTTCGAGTTGAGTGTTGTTCTTGAGCTGAAGGGCTGGATAGCTGGTGTTCAGGTCACCAACAGCCCGAGCTGATCGACATTCTGCACTGCTACTGCTGATATTAGGACAGCTTTGAATTATCGTTTCATTTGAAACTCGGCTCGAATCTAAAAACATATCCATTGAAACATCGAAAAACGACGAAGTTAGCCTGTGAGGTGTCATATAAACCACTTGTGGAGTCATTTTAGCGTTCACTTTTTCTAAGCTGCCACTCTTAACCAAAGACTCTTTACTGAGTTTTTCTGATCTGAGGTGATCTGAGGTAACACTTGATTGATTAGATTTTAGTTTAATATTATCGAGGGTTATTTTTCTTGGTTTCTTGTCAATAATTTCGTTAAATATATAACTACCACTATGAGATACATTATCTGTATGATCTTCTGAAGGTAGATTTGGTAACTCGAATTCATTACCTTGTGCAAGGGTATCTTCACTACCTCGTGAACCGTACCTTGACCAGTCTTCTAACTGTATCAGGATACTTTTAACCTCTTCATCTGACATTTTTGTTCCTTTTGTATCACTTGTATCGGTTTTATTGTAATCACATTGTATATCTGCTAAACTTGTACTAACTGGTAAACAGTCTTTTAGTTTTGTATTCGTATCATCACGAGTACAAAGGTTGGGGCTAGATTGACAGTTGCGTTTATAATTTTTGACGGAATATTTCAAATTAATTTCATTAAAGCGTCTTGTCAAAGCTTTGACTCTTCCAAAAGCGGGTCTGTATTCATCCGGCGATTTCCAAGACTTCCTATCAACACTGTCTAAAATTTGTTTTGTGTCAGTTCGTATGATATTTGGTGAAACTTTATCAATACATTTAATTTTTTGGTTTAAAGTTTCATCAAAAGAATCCGAAGTAGAATAAGTGGACGGCCCATCGGTGTCTTCTGATTTACTGGAAAACGATTTAGACATACTAAATAATGTTCTTTTGAGGCGGCTATGAATATTTTCTATATTTTTAGACTCTTTTTCGAGTTTTAAATTTAGCTCAAATTTCCTATCACATAATGGTACTGAGAAAGTTTCAGCTTCATCATGCTCAGGAGAGGAAGAAGTTTGACATTCGGCATCTGCTGTCACAGGTTTCGTTTCTTCCGATTTGTCCAGCGATACAGAGGGGAGTATTCTTCGAATTTTGGGTGTAGCGATCTTTTCATCGGCACAATCGTTTTCAAATATAACAGGTTCAGAGTTTGGCTCGTCTATGTATGGGATTTGCTGGGCTTCAGGTTGGGGTGTACGGCAACATTCGCAAGCACTAACGCATTCGTCGACCCCAGTGCATCTACGTCTGTAACTTTCAGCTTCTTTTGCTCGTGCATTGAATAAATCTAGCGTGAGTTTTGTATCTATTGGCCTCATTTGTGGAGGTAAACAAACAGCTTCGCCGCTTTCACTCGACTGATCGTAAGTTACAGGAGGTCCAAGAACGGGCGGTGGTTCTTCTTTTGGAGTGTACGAATTATGAGACTCGGTTTCACATTTGCGTCGTTCATCGAAATCTTCGCATGTGAATGTAAAGATTGGGATAGGACGCGGCGGCGTGGGGCCGCTCCTAAGTTCTATCGGACATCCGGGTGTTTCGGGAGATAAGTCATCTTGCAACTGATTATTCTCTCTATCTAGTGTTATTATAAGTCTGGGTATGGAGCCATTGTAGTATGGATGATATTCCTCACTTTCATCCGTACTAGATTCGATGGACTCGTGTCGGAGACGAAATCGGTCATAGAAAATGCGGCGACCGTATCCTGCAATTCGAGATATAAATGAAAACTCCTCACACAATGGGAGAGTAAATATATAGAAGCAAAACACCTATAGCAATAAACAATCGGTCATTGGCACAATTTAGTGATCCGTGTCAATAAATCTCTGTTGAATCACGAATATGTTTCTGTGAACTTATTCTATGTTCTACAAAGATTACTTTGAAAGGCTTTTGAGTTTCTATATTCCAATTTATGTAGTGAAATTTTACTCAATCATAACATTAAGTTTCGTATACTTTTTACGACTACAGTAAGTCATCATATACCACTTGTGGTACGTTTTTAATTATTCATAATTTTAGAGTAAATCAAATAAATGGTCACACAGACCGAAAATTTGCGATAAGTGTTCTGTTTCACTAAATTAACACGGACCACTTAAAATAACCATAAATACCTCAAAAAGAAATAAAGTAAACCAAACTCAAACCTGACAACTGTTCCAAATTTCAGTCCAAGTCAAATAAAACGTCCAAAATCAATTTAAACAAATAAAAACCATCAAAACTATATCCGTTAAAGCAAAACTGAAACAGACATAATAAAACACCATCACCAAAAATGCGCGATTTAAACCAAACTCAAACCAATCAACGACTTATAAATGTAAACCAAATCAAAAAATAATGTCCAAATTTTTAAATAAAACTGAAAAAAATAAATAAAAACAAAACGAAAACGTAGGGCGACCAAGCCAACTTAAACGACTGTCAATCGGGGCGTCATTTAAGAGTACATAATAAGCCGAAAATTTCCTCAAATCTACTACTAATAATTATTTCAATTTGCTACTTTTCGTAGTGTGTGATTTTAAGTAGTTTTTGCAAATATGCAAAACAACGTGTTTGATCGATTACAAAAAATAATATTATGTAAAAATATTATTTCTTGTAACGTAGCCTTGTCCGATTATGAGTATGCTTTTAGGCATCGCAGTATGATTCTGGTCGTGTCAGATCTTTTTCAGATAATGTATAAAAAAGATATCTCGTAAAAATAAAACAAAATTCAGTTAAATGGGATAACTAATTCGGCAATATATGCGTTGTGGGCAGCTTCGGGTAAAAATACCGCCGCACGAAAAATAATCGGCGATGACGGTATTGCCAGATTTAAAAAAAATTGTAGAATTTTAATTATTGTAGTAAAAAAGTGTATTTTAAATAACAATAACATTTTAAATTGATTAATAATATAGTGTTCTAATTTTTTTAATAATGTTATCGCAACCCATTTTTTAATATTATATGCTGCCCTTTCGGATTGGACAAGTTTTGTATATATTTTATAATTTTACAATTAAGTATTTCAATAGGGTATTTAATCTAGTCATTTGAAAGAGTTGTTAAGAATTAGCAAAACAAACATTTGTACGGAAATTTGTTTTCGACATAAAAGTTTTAAAGTCAATATATATAATCTATAATCTTATATATTTATCTTGTATATTTTTGAATACTAAAAACGTGAATTAAAATGAAAAATTGATCAAGTTTGTAGACATTTGTAAAAGTAGCAAAATGAAATATTATAAGGTAAATGTTTATCATTGGTGGTGTATGGGCTTGGTCGATGAATGCCGGCGGGCGTGTCGGTGTCGGTATCGGTAGTGGTTGTGGCGGGCGTGCCTGCGGTGGCGAGCTCGGAGAGCGGCGCGGCGGGGCTGAGCAGCGCGGGGTGCGGGTTGGTGAACGTGCCCGAGTTGCGCCGCGCGCGGTCCTCGTACTGCACCTCCCCCTCCCCCACCTCCTCTGCACCCTCTACACCGCCACACCCCAGCCTCAATGATTACATCGCACACACATTTACCTACCTCCTATTGTTGCAACTATTCTCTATTGTATCATTAATCAATTCGAAAGTATCACAAGACAATCAAAAGCCGTAAAATATCAAAGAAAACTGTTATAGATATTAATTACATCTTTGCCATGACGGAAAAAAATGTTTAAGTATGTATAAAATCAAAATGTTACTTCCATTAAATTTATTTCATGTCTGCAAAAAAAATCACAAGGTTTATCAAATTTAATGAAGAATTACCACATAAGAGCCGTGGTGGCTCATATGATAAGCGCTTAAAACATAATAGTAACTCAGGTTTCATCCCGGCTGGCGCCAATGACATAGTTAAATGCAAATTTAAAAGCTGATTTACCATTAACTCAGCGGTAATGAAAAAAATCGTCAGGAAATCAACATGTGTAATGAATAAAAGTATTTCAAAGATGTGTAATCTGACATGTCAGAAAACAAGTGTAAATCGCGCCAGAACAGCGCGTCGAACTAATTATTCTTGACCCTCTCAGAAATGAAAAAGGGCCTATGCTAACTGTGAGACAACTAAAAATAATAAAGCTACTATAATATAAAATAAAGCTGTAACTTTACTTTAAATTTTTTTTTAATGATTGAAATACTCAATATAGGCCTCGGAAAGGTATCGGAAATTATGTTAAAAATATTTTTAATTCAATAAATTTCGTTTTATTTTCATTCCTTCCAAAACTATAAAATTACCTTGTCGTTGGTTATAAGCGGGTTGATGGAGAAGCGTTGCTAAACCGTGGAGTACAGCTCCCTGTTTTGCCACTTCTAATGTCACCGTTGGACCAGTTTGGACCAGATATTCTGCTGCCTGCATACATTTTAAACCAAATATACATCTCAATATTCTTTTACTTTTTGCGGGAAATAACTTTTTAATAAATAAATGGTACATGCAACTATAACTCATAAAAAGAGGTAATATTTTTTTTTTTTGCTAATGTTCAAACTGAAAGCTCGTTTAACATAGAATAATGTTATTTGACTAAACATACAATTCATGTTAATTAAAAAATATACAGCTCGAAGGACCAAAAAAATTAATTAACAAAAATTACACACGATGTAAAGTACTAAAATATTAGTAGTAGTAGTTGTATTAACGCTTTTTTCTTCTATTTAAAAAAATATTAAAAAGTAAAATACAGAAGAACAATAAAATAGTTTGAACATTTTTCAAATCGGAAGTTTTAGATTAACATTTGCATGTTTTAAAAAATACAAAAGTCCGGGTTCTTTTTTGAAGTTGGGTCATAACCGTGCACGATGTCTTTGAAAGCCAAGGAAATAGATGGTGTGAGGGGTGAGGGTGGGGCATACCTTCTCCTGCGAGATGCCGACGAGCGAGTGTCCGTCGACAGAGAGCAGCTGGTCGCCGGCAGCCAGGCGGCCGTCTGCCGCCGCCGCGCCGCCCGGCACCACCGACTTGATGTAGATGCCCAGCTTGCTTTGCCCCGCGCCCTGCATACACCACCACACACATCGTGATCCACTCACAATTAATTTTGTTATAAACGTGCTGCATATAGGGTTAACGTGGTAGAGCCACGCTGCAGCTATATTTGTATGGTTGTAGCACGAATGGGTCGGCTCAATCGGGGTAGGACCAGGCTCTCACAGAATACCAGCGTAAATAAAATAGCAGCTTAATGCTGCTGTGTTTCGTATGGTGAGTGTAAAGAACCAGAGACCCTTTTTATTGGAAACGAGGCATTGCATCTGAGTCCTCAGGAATCGAGGATAATGTAGATGTATATAGGCCACAACATCCAATTATCATCAGGTGGACTGCGTGCTCGTTGGTCACTCTTATCCAATAAGAAAATAAAAAAGGGTTACATAATGATTACTTATATTTACGCGAACACTGCACATTGAATAAAACTACTTTTACGGATTTTTTCGCGTTTAATAAACTTATTTATCTTATTTTTATTTATTCTCGACGTTTCGGGTGCTTATCAGCCCCCGTGGTCACGGGGAACTGATGTGATTGACGTCCCGATGTCAGAGTTAACCCGGAGTACCTTCAGCTTTTTTAATTATTAATTTTGGTCCGATCTACGCAGAACGAACTTACTGTGTCTTGAAGTCTTGCAGTGGTATGCTTGGGTTTAGTTTTAACTTTATTAATTACAGGATCCCAAGCAGGTGGTAGTACCCAGCCTCCCTCTCTATTGAAATTATGATGTTTTTTAATTTCAATATCCTCACGTATCATCCTTGGCAGGAATCGATGTTCTTTCGCGAGAATTTGTGGTTTATCGAATCTCATGTAATGGCGAGGGCCGTCTAGGATATGGTCACAAACTGCAGACTTCCCGGAACGTTGGTGCTTCACGTCAGCTATGTGTTCTTTTACGCGGGTTTTTATTGATCGTTTTGTTTGCCCTATATATGAGAGACCACATTCACAATCAAGCTTGTACACTCCTGCGTCTTGTAGAGGAATATTGCACTTGACGGATGGTAAGAACTGACTAATCTTCTTCAACGGCTTGAAGCATGTTCTAATAGAAGCTCGTTTCAAGATGTAGCCAATCTTGTCTGTGACGCCTCTGACATATGTTTATATATGTTTTATAGTGTTATTCAAAATAGGGTTATTTTTCGAAGAGTATCCAAATTTTATATTTAAGTTCAAATATACCGTTATCTTTTTATTAAATTTATTTTTTAATTAATTTATTAAAAAAAAAACTGAAGGTAGCCGGGCTAACTATGACAGCAGGACGTCAAACAACTCAGTCCCCCGTGACCACGGGTGCTGGAAAGCACCCGAAACGTCGGGAATATATAAAAATAAGTTAATATACGCGATATAATCCGTAAAATTAGTTTTATTTAAAATACCGTTATTGCCGTTTTTCTAAATACGACTAAGTAAGACTTCTACTTTTAGTTGAAATTATCCCAAATTGAATGTGATTTATGGGCAACAACTACGCGTACGCGCGCGCTTCCTATTCACGTTTTTGATGACAAAGCGACCCTTACCAATGTGTGTTTGCGTAGAAAATAGCAGGCGTTAGATATTTATGAATGACAATCAGTTAAAATAATGTATTACCATGTTATGCAAATGATTGAGATATTTTTTAATTAATTTTTCTTCACCATTCGTATATATTACTTATTCTGAACCTTCTCTACAAATTTTGGCCTTTATTGAATAATAACCCTGTATATATGGTCAAGCAATCTTCAACCTAAGAGTTAAATTTGGTAGGAACCACCCCCTTTTTTGGCCATTCACTGAGTTCAGAAAGGGTAAATGAATTAATAATATTTGTTTATTCACTCCACAAATTTTACATCGTGACTTACACTATTTAAAGAATTTACATAGTACTATGAGTCAAATATCCCTTACATTTTGTAATTACAATTCGACCACATTTTAATATGTGGCACGCACAATCACATATGTACGGTTCAAAAACCATACATTTTACTTTATGCTAACGTGATTCGAACCCCCGCGCTGTGAATTACTTGTGCACCTATTTTCAAATCAAACTCAATATGTGTTAAATTAACAACACGTATGCTTACTTTATATGCCACTTATACTCACGTTCTATCGTCTTAAACTATCTTTAAACTATAAAAAAGCTCTGAAAAACTAAGCCTCAAGCAATTTCTCAATTCTTACAGCTCGAGAGAAAAATGACTAAACAAAAACATTTAGCTAAACTTTTATCCAAAAGTACATCGATGTAGTGTAATGTCACAGTTTACAGACCATACAGTTGGAAAACAAATGTGTTTGCGCAGAGCAACGGTGGGGGCCATGCGGAGCAGAGGGCGGACCGACCTTGGGCTAGCGCACTTCACTAAGACAGATAGATAATACATGTGGTTGGCGCGAGTGTGTTTTAGAGTACTTATTTAATAAATTTTAATTGCAGTTTTAGAAAAATATAGTACCTATAATGGTGAATTACTGTTATAGTTATATGAGTTACTAAGTAAAATTGAATTGAAATGACGGCCATGCTCATGTTTCCCTCATTTCTTTTTTTTTGACAAAATTGTTTATTCGGATGCAAAATTAAATTTAATAATCGAAAACTGAAAACATATATAAAACGAAAGTGTCATGAAAATATTTGGCAGTTTAACATTTGTAAATGTGTTTTTTCTTGTAGTAATAAAAATGATCTCGTTCGATAAATGTTTTGAACTTATTATAATGTTAATAAATGATAATGAGTATTATAATATCCAAAATTAATTTATTTCCATTTTTGTGAGAACGCTTAGCATACACGCTGGCCGGGTCATACGTACTCGGGTGGCGGCATCGTCTGACATCATAGGTGTTTTTTTTTACTTTCTTAAGTTACTGGTCAGGTCCACAAGAATATATATAATATAATAAACAAGATGATGGATTGAATGACTTTGATGGAACCAGCCAGTGCGTCTTTTGTGTCAAATTATTTATCGGTAAAACAAGTAGGCGATTTCGAGATCTACCCTTATTTTTATTTAATTTTTTTATTTATTTCTTAGCTATTACTTCTGATAGTAGATGTATTACTTTTAAGTAAATATATATACATATATATATATATATATATATATATATATATATATATATATATATATATATATATATATATATATATTCCGTTTTAAACGTGTTCTATTGTCCGTATAGCCAAATCGTACCTAATTTCACAAATATAGAGACCCATGGCGAGTATATTTACAAAATTAAAGGAGACATGGGTGTAATTATGATGATGATGGTTTTTAAGTTCAACGTAGAATTTTGATTGTACAAATGAGTTATATAACTGTTCTGGGCGGTGAGAAACGCACAGGTACTCGGGTGTACGCGGGGTGGAGGGGTGGAGGGGTGTGCGGCGTGTCGCAGCCGTCGTCTATAGTCGTGTTTGCGAGCCTAGGTGTGTATTTGTGTGTGGCATAGGAGCAGAGCGCGTACCTTGGCGGCGACGATGCTGAGGCCCATGCCCGAGGAGTTCTTGTTGAGGCGCACGATGAGCGGGCGCGCGTGGGGCGCGTGGGGCGCGTGCGGCGCGTGCGCGGCGTGCGGCGCGTGGCCGGCCAGGTACACGGTCCAGGCGCCGAGCGCGCGCGGCTGGTGCACGAGGCGGCACAGCGCGCCGCGCTGCAGCGGCGCCACGAACTCGGCCAGCCCGGGCGGCACGCCGCGCACCACCTCCGCGCTGAACCCGTCGCCCGGGATCAGCAGCGCCGCGCCCAGCCACCGGCTCTCCTCCGCAACGATCTGCGCGCCCGTAACAACTCATCATCGTCATACACGCTAATATGTCATATACATCATCACTGCAACTACCACGACACGGAGATCGAACTTATCTTTCTTTTATTTATTCTGTGAGAGCGTAGTCTTTTCCCAATAGAGTCGGCCTATTCGTGACACAAACATAATAACGTACCGCACCGTACGCACCGAATTTTATAAAATGCGATAGGTGTCCGAATATTGAACGAGGCATGCTGGTGACGTCATATAACTTAGTAGTAGTAGTATAGTTTTGTCTAATGTTGCCAACTTAGCGAATTTTTCACTAAAACTGGTGATATCGACTTTCGTTTCAAAATATATTCTATAATCGTTTTAACATACGTAGCAATTCTTGAAATTATTTGTATGTCAAATGCAAATATCTGAAAAATCTATGCAAATTAATATTGTAAATCCAGAATCTTATTTTTCTTCGAATTTTATTTTTCTTCTTCCTCTGCCAATAAGCAGGCTATTACAACAATTTTTTCCAAAGCGATCCGAACGATCAATGTCACTACGGTTTCACACTAGTTTGTATTGCCAACACACACAAGTTGTTGGCAATACAAACTGGTGAACTCTAACGTTCATAATCTCCCGATTCGCTGTGCCAACCTGTATATTTTTACGAGAAAGAGCCATACTGCAGCTATATTAGTAGTATAGCTGTAGCATGAATGCGTCTGCTCGACCGAGGAAGGACCACGCTCTCACAGAATTACAGCGTAAAATAGCAGCTTAACGCTGCTGTGTTTTGTATGGTGAGTGTAGAAAACCGGATACCCTTTTTACTAGAAACGAAGCATTCCATCTTAGAGTAAGTCCACACGGCGGCATCACAGCGTTGCTACAATGCAGTCGTATCGTTCAGTCGTCGCAGCGGCGACGCACAGTCGCGGCGAGCATTTTGTAAAAACATCGCAGTCTATTCGGAAGCGTAGATCGAAAGAGACGTCTGGCATTGCTGCTATTACTACATCACCGCCGAAATCGACGTAAAATCACAAGACGGTGTTGGATCTGTCCCTTAATTTCATTAAGAAATAGTGGAAGACAGTTTTTTTTTTTAATTAGAATATCATGAGTTGCTGTTGGACGAAAAGAAGTTTTATAATTTCTTTAGAATGAGTGTATGTATGTGGGTACTCATTTTACTCTGCAAATTAAACTCAAAACTAAATTAGCTTGCGTGCTATCAACGCACAAACAACTGAGCGCTGCTGCTCCGGCGTCGCAAGCAGTACACCCCTTCCCCTTCGTCTCGGGGGCTTTCAAACAGTCGTGTACGCGACGCGTTACGTCAACGCAATGCACTGCGTGTACGCTATAGTTATTAGTATGTAAAACGACGCAGTGACAGTACTGCGTCAACGCAACGCTGACACAACGCACCGTGTAGGCCTACCGTACGTCCTCACGGGTGACAACGCATCTGCATTTTGATTCATAATCGAATTTAGAGGTAGAAGTCTATGGGCCGCAGCAACCACTTACCATCGGATGGACTATGTAATCGTTTGTCACACTTATCCTATAAAAAAAATTACGCACAAACACGAAATTAATCACTTATACTATCCTAACCGTGGCCGATGTAACGCATACGTGATAAGATCGGAGGTAGGTAACGATGCAGTCACAAAGACACTGGGGCAGTAATCACAAAATAGTGATATTATACAAATTATGGTTCCGGCTAGGATTGTCATCCACGATCCGCGACGTATTAGCCAGGCACTCTGGCCAATAATATAACGTCAGTAGCCATTATAAGCAAAATAAAGTGTTGAATCCCCTTCTTATGCCGCAATGATACAGTAGTAGTATTATTTAAGGCATATTAATTCAGTTACGCGCGAGCAGTCGAGGCGAACGCACACGTTTGGCTGCATATTCTTACCGCATATTTTATCGCGTTATTTTCACTTCCTACCCACATAATAATTATGTTAAATTTAAAAGGATGATATACTTGGAACTGTGGATTTAGGTGTCTCAACTGACAGTGAAGTAATGGAGCAGGAGCTAAGACTTGAAAGTGAGCAACAACTTAATCAAACTTTAAACGAGGAGATGAGGAAGAAGGGGGAGAGAGCAACGACTCGCAGGGAAGAGAGTGCGACAGGATGATGAAGAAATAGTGGAAGAAGACGGATTTGTTACAGTAATTAGAGGGCATAAGCGGTTGAATAGAAAGGATTCAAATATGATAATTTAGTGAAGGAAGGTCATCAAGATTCTGAGGCGAAGAAATATATTATTATATGTGTGACAGGAAAAGAAGTATTACCGAAACAATTTGGAATGGCAAAGCTTTTACGGTCGTTAAACATTGAAAATATAGTGAAGATGATATACAAAAGTGCCTACAGGCTGTTGATTCATTTTGAAAACGAAGAAAGTGCAGTGAAACTACAAAAAAGTGAAAAGTTATCCAGTTTAGGATACCGAGCACAAAGGGCTGATGAGACTATTTTTTGTTATGGAATACTGAGGCAGATAGATTTAGACACCGAAGCAGTTTCAAGAAATTCTTGAAAATCTTCCATGTGAGCACGAAATAATTTCAATAAAAAGACTCAGAAGAATGTTTGATAGTGGACAATGGATCGATTCAGAAACTGTAAGAATTTGTTTCAAAGGTACTACTTTACCGCCGTATGTGTATGGGTACGGTTGTAGGTTTAAAGTTCGGTCATCTCTCAAGATCATGCCCAATTAAAAAAATTATATGCCTCAAATGTGGTAACAATCACCCGAATTGCGATACCGACAAATTTGTTTGTGTCAATTGTAAAGGACCACATATGGCCATGCATAAAAAGTGTCCGATATTTTTAAAAGAAAAAGAAATTAGAAACATTATGACGAAGCAAAACTGTACTTACCGAAAAGGTCTGCAAATATATTTAAAAGGCAAGGGGAGTCAAGAAATATACACTAGAAGTGAGGGCATTGAAAGTAATAGGAACATTAATGATTCACAACTTGAGAGCACACAGAATACGCAGAAAACATCGTACAGAGATATAGTGATAACAGAAACACTTATTCATAATGATTCGTCGACGTCAAATAAGGTTATCGAAGGGAAGAGTTCTCGACATAATCACATAGAAAAGGAACGGGCGCTGGAGAGGGAGAATACAGAGGCTGGAGGATCGGATGAGAATAGTAAGACTAGAGAAAAGGGCAACGGTGAGTCAGAAGCAAGACAAATGGAGACAGAACAAAACCCGGAGCCTAAGAGGAATAGTTCAAATTCTATTTTAGATTTAGGTAGCATTTTTCAAAGAGTCAAAGATATATGTTGTTACGATAACGATTGGTCTACTAAGTTCCAACAATTAGGTAAACTATTACTTGAAATACTTGGTAATTTAATTATCAAAATTTGGAACAGAGACGATATATGTACAAGAATAGTATCTATGTTTAGAAATGGCTATCGATAGTACAAGATTGTTTAAGCTATGTATGTTACAGTGGAATGTACGAAGTTTGCGGCCCAAACGTAACGAATTGGACCTTTTATTAGCGCAAGAAAAAATACATACAGCGTTAATATCTGAAAATTGGCTAGAACCAGATTCACATATAAATCTTAGTGGCTATAATATTTTTAAAAACGATATGGAAGATGGCTATGGAGGGTTGCTATTATAATTTGTAAGTCGATTAAAGTACAACAATGTCCAATCATAATTAATAATTCGGGAATAGAAATTATTTCAATCAAACTTTTGAACTGTAACGAAATTAAAAATATACTCTTAATATATTGCCCCTCTTCCGTGCGGACAAGTCTGTCCGATTGGGAACAAATTTTTTCACTATTTCCGAATAAATGTATTATAGCCGGGGACTTTAATGGCCACCATACAACTTGGTCCTCTAAAACCGATGGAAGAGGAGAACAGATATATGATGCGGCTTTAGAGGGCGGCTTTATATCCCTTAACGATGGTAGCGTAACTAGAATGACTTTAGTTGATAACGTTATTCAGCAGACATCGCCTGATGTGACATTTGTTTCCTCTGATTTATCCGCTGCGTTTAACTGGAGTGTTATGAATGAAAGCTTGGGAAGCGACCATATGTTTATTAAGATTTCTTATAAGTATAATAGCAATATAAATCGAGTTTGGGTAACTAAAAAGCGTAATTTTAAACTAGCAAAATGGCCAGCGTATAGCAAGTCTTTAGAAAACTATTTATTACAGCCTATAGATGACGTTAGTGTTCAATCCTTGTATGATAATTTCATTAAGCAAGTGAATAATGCTGCGGACGAACGTATACCGCTAGTAAGAAGCTGTGATAATCCCAAAAATGACTTTCGGCCTAAGCCTTATTGGAATCCCACACTATCCCATTTAGTAGCACAACGAAGGTTGGCCTTGAAGAATTTTAGAAAGAACCCCATCCCTACTAATCTCACTATACTCGAGCGCAAAAGACCCCAACTAAACCTGTTTCCTAGATATCAAAAATGCGTATAACAATGTCCTAGTAGATACACTGATAAACACTTTAGATGAAATAGGGATTGGTAAAAAGTTTTGTCAGAAGAGGAGAAAGTATCTAGCATGCAAATTATGTCTGAAGTTAAAGTCTGCAGAAAATAATATATAAACTCAGCACTCTTAGAACTCTACACACTTCGACAAAATTATTATTGGAGAAACAAAATCATTCCTTTACTCCTACTATAATGAAGTTAAAGAAATTCAAATAGCAACATCATGCTCTTTATTAATGTTTACTTTGCGAACATGGGTAAGCAATATTAACTTAAATGAAGTAATTGTACCCAAGCTAGAAACAATTCACTATTCAAAAAGTTCATACGACAGTAACCTATTAAAGTATGAAGTTATCAAAGAGTTGTATACAAGATTTAATGGCTGGAGTTTTATATTTACGGATGGGCTGAAGAGTGTAGGAGGATGTGGGTCTGCGTTTTATGTGCCTAATATAGATATAATACTAAATCAAAATTATCATTGTTTTAAAACGAGTTGAATGTAAATTCAAGAAAAACAACTTCCTTCTGCGTGAATCCCATATCTCTGGTGCCCTTTGACCTACAGGACCCAAATTCAAACTCGACCGAGCTACTACCTCAAGGTATCCACATACCAAATTTAAAGTCAAACGGTCCAGTGGAACGGAAGTTATCGTGTCGGCATACAGACTAACAGACTGCCAGCTAAAACCATTAACTTCCTTTCAATGCTACGCAGAAGGAAGTTAATAAGTACTCATACTAGTATTATGACTTTGGAGTTCCAATAATAAGTTTATTGCAATCTCAGAAGCTTTGACATATGTTATCAGTAGCCAATATAAAAATGTCGTTATATACACAAACAGCAAGAGCTCATTGCAACACATAGCTCGATGCGCCTCTGGCTACAGAGGTGCATCGATAGCTTATGACATTATATCCAAGATAGATGAAATAACTTCAAAAGGCGTTCAACTGAGATTGCAATGGGTCCCATCGCATATTGGGTCACGGGGCAACGAAAAGGCTGATATGTTAGCGAAATATGCAGCTAAGAATGGAAAGGAAACTAATATTATTTTGGATTATTCAGAAGTTTTACCTAAATTCAAAAATATATGTTATGAAATGTGGAAGGAATACTTTAACAAGCGGTCACTAGAAAAAGGAATATGGTACAAAACCATACAGCGTCTAGTTTAAGTAGAAAATTAGCTACTACTGCTCATAGACTCAGATCTGGACACGTTCCATGTAAGAAATTTGTATTTCTGATGAGAAAAACAACTTCGCCCAATTGTGAAGACTGTGGAGTTATAGAAGACCTATACCATATATTGATGGAATGTGTTCGATTTGAGTCTATTAGAAGTAATTTCATAAGGGTCTTAAATTTGAACAGAACTGACGTAGGCACATTTCATAATATTCTATCCCAACCAAATGGCGACGATGCGAAAGTTCTGTTCGAAACCATGGGCCACGTAGTATAATTAGTATTAAGTAACGTTATATGAGAAAATCATGTATGTTAGGGTATGATGGGACTGACATACGCTAAGCGGTAAAAGTTCCTTAAATTATTGTAGAATAAAAAAAAGCATATTAATTATTAAATAATGATTGACGCTTATAAATAAAATTGAAGTCTGTCTGTAATATTAAAATATATTACAGATAGAAAAATATATATACAAAACCATTTTTAAAATGTTTGCTTGTCTGTCTGTCTGTCCGGGCTAATCTTCTGGATGGCTGAACCGATTGCAAATAATCTTGACGAACAAATAGAGAGCAATGCCAGGAGTTAATCTAGGCTATATTTTATCCAAAGAACTTGAAGTAAAATTTGTTTTTGCGAAATGGATACATTAATAAAGACTATTTGTCTTTGATGATTATCTTAAATCTAAATAACGCCACATTAATAAATCCTAACGAGGCGATGCTGCAGCGTATAGCTAGCAATAAAATAAAATAAAAGATAGTCAACACACCTCTCTCCCGTCAGCCCTGTATAATTCGTCAGCCAATGCTCTTGCATGTGCCACGGCAGCTTCTACAATATCAGGTGGTGCGATAGGCGTCAGCAATGCACGCACTTGCACGGAGTTGAGCTTAACACACGCTGATAATGCCGCCCTCACTTCGTCAGGAGTGCGGTACTCGCCTTGGATCAGGCGTGCTGCAGTATAAAAGTAACACTTTCTAGACGATTATCAAAAATGTAGCTTTATTTTTGTAGAATAAAATGTATTTGTTAATTTATTGATACAGATAGTAACACTGGAATTTTAAGGACAACTGAAAATAACAGTAATTTCCAATTTAAGTACATTTAGGTATAGTATACAATCACAATCTGTTAAACTGTGAACACAGTTAGTTCGCAGCAGCTTTCGTGGATATAGTACATATATACCATCAAAAACACAACAAAAAACCAAGTTTCGCAACTCAGTTCTTCTACCGTAAAAAGTTGTGAGATCCATGTAGTACCAAGTCAATCTATTTAAAACATAAAAGATTTATATTATTGATATGGTCACTATAAGATGTTGTTAGGTTAGCTAATTACGTAATAACTTAAGACAGAAGGACCCTTAAGTAGGGGCTGAATAAATTAACCGACTTGGTATTACATGGATCTCACAACTTTTTACGGTAGAAGAACTGAGTTGCGAAACTTGGTTTTTTACACGTTGTGTTTTTATATTAAAAAAAATATTTTTGTGGATTGGACTATTTATAACATAAACATTATTCATAAAACTTATATAGCGCCAGCCACGCGTGTGTGTATTATGCGTGCGTTTGTGTCGGTGTGTGTGTGTGTGTGTGTGTGTGTGTGTGTGTGTGTGTGTGTGTGTGTGTGTGTGTGTGGTGTGTGTGTGCGTGTGCGTGTGTGTGTGCGTGTGTGTGTGTGTGCGTGCGTGTGTGTGCGCGTGCGTGCGTACATGTGTGTGCGTGTGTGTGTGCGTGTGTATATACGTGCGTGCGTGTGCGTGTGCGTGTGTGTATGTGCGTGCGTGTGTGTGCGCGTGCGTGCGTGTGTACATGTGTGTGCGTGCGTGAGTGTGTGTGTGCGTGCGTGTGTATACGTGCGTGCGTGTGCGTGTGCGCGCGACGTACCGGCTTGGTGCGTGCGCGCGAGGTGGCAGTCGGCGGCGAGCTCGAGGCCCTGGCGCTCGGCCCAGGCGGCCAGCAGCGCCAGCCGCGCCGCTAGCGCTGCTCCCCACCGGGCGCTCACCATGCCCGCTTCCATCACCAGCTGTCGCAAACACCACGTACATTACTCATCACTTCACCGAACTAACTCATAAAAGGTTGTCTATGAAACTTGTATAGCTTCTAGCACGCCTTCTAGAGCACCTCATTCCACCTCACTACATTGTTACTATTACTTATACTACAGAAGTCTATGTAAAATCCACTGCTGAATATAACCCTCCCCCCATCGGTTGACACAAAGTACGGTCCTGAGCCACCTGTAGCCATCGAATGTTTGCATGTTTCACTACCCTCTGCATCTGTAAGTGTTAAGGTAGAATTATCTTTTAAACCGAAACCATAGAGAACGTGTACTCGGATAGTATCTAAAGACTTGAAAACAGAAGAGTATCATCTAGTATTATCTCATGAATTGAAATTTTCGATTTCGCCGGCAGTAGGTAAACACCTTATTGAAGCAGTACGCGTTGATGTAGTGGAAGAGGTGCGAGAAGAGCTGTATGGTGAGCGCGGCGTTGACGCGGCAGCGGCGCAGCAGCACCATGGCGGCGGCCAGCGCCTGCAGCGTGGGCGCCGTGGCCTCCGTGGCGTCCGCCGCAGCCGCGCTGTTCAGCGTAACCAGCGCGCGCCCCAGCTCCTCTTGGAAGCACGTCACTAGATTGCTGTTGATACATTCGATAATGCATGGATTACTTATTACTACTTATTTTTTCTTAAATTGTCAACGCTTGGAGTACATATTATAAAGGCCAATAATTAAAAGCAGTATTTATAGTGCAAGTTAGAACTCGACTACTACGAATGTTACACTCTATCAAAAGTTCATTGCTAAATATAGACCTCCCCCCAATATTTTATCATAAGAGGGATGTTTGCCATAGTTGCCACACTTGGCAGACGGATTGGCAACCGCAGTTTTTTTTTATATTTGGTAGGAAAATGCTGCTTACAACACCCACGAGACGAAATGGGGTAGTGGATATTTTTGCATTGCTACTATTGCAACTACGAAATCAATACTTTGCACGCCTTAATCTCCTTATGATCTTCTGATCCGTAATGCCGCACAAATTCAGAATGCGTGATAATACATTATTTTAACTAATTCATAATTATCTAGCACCTACTATATTCTACGCACGCACACATTCGCAAGGGACGCTCGGTAAGGTACCTTGTCGTGCGTCTTCCCGTACATTTAATTTTATTACATTTTAAGCAATGAAAGTTTACGTGGTGCGCGAAGATTGTACGAAAGTGAGTCTTTACCGCAGCAAGAAATTAACGTATGTGTACCTACTAATCGAAGAACAATTAACAGCTAATCAAACTGTTCAGGTGCAGTAAGCGATAACTTAAATAGTGAATATGAAGAGAGTTGGATTGGACACGGACGCCCTATACTATGGTCTGCAAACTCGTCGGAACTTTCACCGTTAGTATTTTATCTGTGGGGTGAAATAAAGAGGCGTGTTTACGTCAAAGATGCCCAAACTAATGATGACCGCCATAGTAAAATTATTGTTGCGTTCACAGAAGGTAAAAGTGCTCAAGCACATGCAATAAGTGTAAAAAATAATTTAAGAAAACGTGCTCGTGCATGCATAAATAATGTGGCGGCACAGCCCTAGCTTATTTAATATGTAGTGTATTTGTTATTCACATCCCCACAACAGAAACGAATTCCATTTTGAGGTACCAATATTAGATATTGGGACTACATGCGTAATTTAGTTGTAAAAGGTTTATTCCATATTTTTTTAATACGTCACAATATAATGACAGTCGTCGGTTACGTCGTTGATAAGGAAAAAGATTTTTTTAATTGTATTTATCTATTTATTATGATTTTAACTTAAATATAAAATTTGGCTACTCTTTGAAATATAACCCTATATATGTATGTATACTTTTAAATGGGTTCTTGTGGAACTTTCTAGCAGAACGATATACATATTTATAAGTGAAATTATTTTTACCATTTTTATTTCGACACGTAATTATCTCAATAAAGTAAAATCATTTGAAAATAGAAAATTTATATAGAATACATACAATAAAATACACACAGTACACAATAAAACTATTGTTACGAGTTTGGGGTTCGAGACAATTAAAAACTGCCGATTGAATTACCAAAATTGACACTTTAATTACAGAACACTATATAACACTAACACAACTGTACTACTGATCACTTTAGTTCACAGTTATTTCGCTTCGAAGTATTCTCTTGTATCGCCAATTCAATATTGACTCGGTCGTAGTCTATACCGGCCTTATATAGGGCCTCAGATAGTTTCCAGATCCTTCTACTGTAGAAACATCTAGAATGTTCGAGTACATATCGGTCCCGAAATTTCTAGAAGGATCTTGACTCTCCTAGTTATGCTACTTGATACTAGAGGGCGCTAGTGGTAACTAGTGTTGCCATGTACAACACATTAATAGTGCCGCGCAACACTATTATAATTATTTGAAAATCTTGTATATTTTTATGAAACAACTAAATAAACAAAAGACAAGAATAGAAAAATAATAATAATAGTATTATTACGTTTTAGAGAATGATTAGCAGTTTTAAAGAAATATCTATGCATGACTTATAAGGTATGCTATGCTATCTAAACTCGAACAATATCTGATATATAAAGTTTTCAGCATAAAGAGTTACACTGTACATATAACTATTATCTAAGACTTTAACTTTACATGTAATAGTTATTTTACAGTCATATTTTTTCGATAATGACGATCTTTGCTTTCTTCTAAAAACTTACATTTAAATAATAAGGTAAAAGTCATCATACCTAAATGCATTTTGGACGGTTTGTGGCAACAGTTCTTGAGCTTGCGTCGAGAAAGAAGATATATGCCTGTCGCATTTGAGAAAGTGAAGCAATTCGCTGGCGTTTGCCATCCAGAACGCCTGGGCTGCGGAATCTGTGCATCTTTCCTGTAATAAAATATAAAATCAAATCTCATCCGCAATTAAAATGATAAATGCTATACATATTATACAAATTTTCATCTTATATTAGAAAAACAAAATATTTGTTTAAGTACATATCAAATGAATTTTTTAAAGAAGTTGTAACTGTACAGTACTAATCTTTATTATGGTACAATTATTTTTTAAAGGAAGTCGCAAAAAGCGCAGAGTAGACAGCAATCATACCTGTACAGTAGCGTGTATGAGCGTGGCAACATGGTGAAGAAATGCCGTGAGCTTGTGTGCCCGCTCCGTCGGAGTTAACTCTGGCCGGTAGTGCGTAGACGCACGATACCTGGAATTTTAAGCATATAAATAACGATGGAAGAATTTGATATTAATAACGCAACAATTTATAAATAATCAACAGAAACAAACGAAGTGTTATGCTGATAATAAAGCAATAACTTATTTGCCATAGTTGCCACGCTTGGCAGGCGGGTTGGCAATCGGAGTATCTAATTGGTCGTTTTACGTGGTCGATGCTTACATGGTACAACCATGCTGCAGTTGTCAGTTCAACCGGGGAAGGACCACGCTCTCAAAGAATACCAGCGCAAAATAGCACATTAACGCTGCTGTGATTTGTACGGTAAGTGTAAAGAACCGGACACCCTTTTTACTTGAAACAAGACATTCCATCTTAGTCTACACGGGTGACAACGCATCTGCATTTTGATTCTAATTTAGAATAGAAATGTCTATGGGCAACAGCAATCACTTTCGTTCATGTGGACTGTGTGCCCGTTTCCCACCCTTATCATATAAAAAATAACCGTTTATTGTTTGCTGTGAATTATTATTGCTAATTTGAGTATTTACTCCACGGAGAAAACACAAAGAGGAGGTGTTGTAATTAGATTTCGCTATGTAACAACGCGTGACAGGTGAGGGGGTGCTAAACCCCGCCCACTTAACTGTTTTCCATCTACCGATAAATAGTAAAACTACTCGCATCGTTCCATATCGATGTTGCATTGTAGTTTAGCTACCTTTACGACAGATGGCGGCCTATTTACAAAATGATTATAAAACTATAAAAATAATATTTTGGCGATAAAAATTCTTTAGGACTGAATGCAAAACAAATTTCAGCCCCTTCGTATGATTATTTTACCAAAACTGAGCTCTACGTACCTTTATATTTTTAGTTCCCATGACACAAAGTGTCGCCATCTAGTGTCGAATACATTTAATTACTTTTGAAAGCCGACGCAGAGATTTTTCTAGAACTATTTTAATAAATTAGGTTTAAAATTACTTACAAATGATATATGATGCCATCCATAGAATCAGAGCGTCTATCTGAGTAGTTTTTACACGATAAAACACAATAGTTCATCCCTTTCTTCTTAATACTACGAAAATACACCGATTTGCGATTTGCGATTTTCGACACATAAGCACACAGGACGAACGCTGACGCCACTGTGGTAACGTCTGAACCTAGTTAGAATCACATTGCACAGTTGCTTAGATCATCTCCTCTTTGTATTTGCTCCGTGGTTTACTCATAAGTAAGATAATTAGCATCACCTACTTAAATTTCATTTATATATCACTCCTAACGTGTAATAACAAAATATAATAACGCATGCAGTTTTATTTCTTTAGCGTTTATTTGCTTATTTTTGAGCCAAAATATGTCCTAATGTTATTTGGTTTATGAACCTGTATTTCTTGCTATAATATCGGCAAGAAAAATACACTTGTTTTTCTGTCGTTGACTAACTGCGCATCATTTTGGGAACACGACTATTGAACTTTCGCGTGTGGGTCCTAAAAAATAGATATTTAGCATAATGTGAACGAGACATCACGACGACCTCATCTATCGTCTTTCATTAATAAACTATATTCCATCCATCCATCACTGCCTATAAAAATCCACTGCTGAACACAAGATTCTCCTATAGATTGCCTCATAGGGAGGATTTTGCCATAGTTGCCACGCTTGGCATCCAGGTTGGCAACCGCAGTTTTTATTTTTTATTTTGAGTTGTTATTAGGAAGATGCTGCTTCCCATCTCCTGTTTCGTTTTCCCTCTGTCACTTCTTACGACACCCTCGGGACGATTTGGGTTAGTGGATATACTTAATAATACACGGCTAATATTAATAATTTGTTTTAAAATTTATTCGAATTTCCGTTGAAATTAAACTACTTTTTTAATTAAGAATATGCGAATAATAGTTTTTTTATTATTAGAATTATGAATTTATGTGTTGGTATTATCATACAATTTTTGTTCATTTCGACATCTCTAAAAATATTATTAGAGATGTCGTCGTTATAATTGATCAACTAGCATATTTAAATAATTGAAAGCTATCGTGTTTAGTGTGAATTATTTCAAATAGCGGGTGCGGCACTTACCGTGCGCACAGGTAGAGCGTGTAGACGGGCGCGAGCTTGAAGGCGGGCGCGTGCGGGTCTAGGCGCGTGATTACGGCGGCCAGGAACTGCGCCTGCCCCGCCTCCGGGAACTCCAGCACGGCCGGCAGGATCGCCTCCGCGCCTGGCCCCGCACCCCCCGCAACTCCCGCACCCCGAGCGTTCGCCACTCTAACACATTTCGACACTTCATTTCAACAGCATTGCCCGACTGCTTTCACACTTATTTATTTATACATATTTATCAACACCATTATGTACTGATGGTACAAACGGGGAACTTAATATGGCATTTTCTACCAGCCAACCAGAAAGTTGGTAGGAGAAGTGTGAACTGCAGTAGGCTAGGGTGAAAAACATAATATAGATAAACTTACACAATCATAGAAAAAAACCAAACATTAAAACTTACTATAAACATTTTTGTACAACCGACATCAATATAAATTATTAAAGATAACTCAAAAAGAATTGGTCAGACCTTAATCAAATTTATATAGGACCACATTAGAAGCACCAGTTTTCAAATAAAAAAAGAATCATCAAAGTTGGTTTACCGAGAAAAAAGGAACGAGGTAATGCACATTAAAAAAACGTACAGTCGAATTGAGAAACCCTCCTTTTTGAAGTCGGTAGAAAAAAAAGAGCAATCATGACTTGCCATTATCATTTTTATTGGCCTATAAACAGTGCTCTGTCGGGCGTGGACCTCTTCTACAACCATGAGAATTTACGAGGGGAGGTCAAAAAGTTCGCGGAATGGCGGGGTTGAAGAGGGTGACTTTACTCATCCAAGTAGGCGCTATTTAAGTTACTCATTGTTAGTATATATACCAAGTTTCAGCCTAATCGGGTCATTAGCTTTTGAGTTATCGACGAGTAAACAAGTCAATCGGGAAGAAACTAGCCACTCTGGAGAAAATTGAATATCGCGCCGTCATTGAGTTTCTCACCAAACAATGAGAACTTCAAACCATTTTTCAAGAGATGTCAGCTGTTTATGGGGTAGGGTCAGTACTCCGCTCCTGGGAAAACCATGATTTATAAATGGCACGCCCTTTTCAAACAAGGGAGGGACGCTACTGAAGACGACCCCCGATCTGGACAGCCGATTGAGGCTCCCAAGGCAGAATTAATCGAAAAAGTTGAAAAACTTGTATCGGAAGATGCCCGGCTAAAGAAAAAACAGCTTGCAGCATTAGTTGGAGCATCAGAATTTGCTTTATGCGCATCAAAAACACGAGCGCGTCGAGAGTTGTCGCGAGTTTTTGGACCGTTGTGGAGAGCAAAGGGAGGAAGTTATGGCCCGTGTAGAGTCAAAGCAAGAGTCGATGCAGCGGCATAAAAAAGGCACACACCCTCCTAAGAAGTATGGGGTGTCTCAATCGACCGGAAAGATCATGGCGACGATCTTTTGGGATACAGAAGGTATATCCTTTTGATTGATTATAAGGAACGTGGCGTTTCCATAATGGGAAATTACTATGCTTCTTTAGTAAATCAATTAAAAGAAGCTATTAAAGAAAAAAGGCGAGGAAAGCTTACAAAAAGGCGTGCTCCTTTTGCACGACAATGCGCCCGTGCACACAAGCCATGTTGCGACGGCTGCCATTCACCGGTGCGGTTTTTGCACCACCACCCACCCTACCTGGACCAGTCCAGACCTGACCCCAAGCGACTATTATTTGTTTCCAAAAATGAAGAAAGAAAATAGTGGGAAAGAATTGAAGGCGATGATGAAGTGAAGTCGGCAATTGCGGCCTATTTTGACGCCCAAGACAAATCTTTCTTTAGACGGTATTAATAAGTGATTTGACAGATTTAATAAACGTAAACACATTGAAAAGGAAAAATAGTTTAATGTTTCATTTCATTATCCTTCCGTCATTCCGCGAACTTTTTGATCTCCCCTCGTACCGTTATCGTCACGCTTAACAAGTGGATAGGCGATTTTGCACCTTTGGCGCTGCACCTCTTCGCTAAATCTAAGAATTTTAGATCTGAAACGTACCATATGTGACGAAGCATTTTCTATAGAAATGTTTACATTTATCTACCACAGATTCTTTGTAGGTTCTATTAATTAATATGAGATAGCTTGTCAACGCCTGATAAATGTAATGGTTTCTCTTGTGGCGACGTGTGATAATACACAAATATAGGACTCAAATTTCTGCAATATCGCCGCGACCTAAATTCTTGAAACATATTCAATATATAGATTTGTTGATGATTTAACATAAAAAAAGATAGTAATCAAATGACTTCGTTTCAATATTCATAATAATTAAGGTTACAGCTATCGACTGATCAGCTGTCCAGGCATGGCTACACCTGTTACTTTCTCATTGTATTGTAGTATTTATAAGTTCACACTCAGTAAATCCATAACATTTTTGTATATATATTTGGAAATCGTTAATTCAATTTGGGAGCAATGTCACTTTAAAATTAAACAAAATCTCACAAGTGCTGGATTCCAGAAATTGAACAGAATTTTGTCATAAGTAGCCTTGATAACCTTTAATATTTTATCGCTCAAGAAATGTTAATACCTGTGAAACCTTACCTTATAAACATTAAAATGTATGAACTGTTTATTTCGTAATGAACATGACATAGGCATAGTGCAATATCCGTCTACAGACAGTTCAAAATGCTAAAATGAATGCAAGCAAAATCATACCTATTATCGTGACCCGAACCACCGCTTTTCGCGCTGCATATGCTCTTCGTCTCGACGTTCCCATCCAAATCGAATGTTGTTTCGTAATTATCCTTGTACTGTGAGCCTGTTCGACTTGCACCCGTGCTCTGGTCCTGTTCGTTGTAGACCGAGCCCGACGGCTCATCCCTCATATAATCATCTTTAGAATCGCTAAGGTGTTGCGACATCATGAGAGATTCGTTGTCGAGTTTCAGCGTGTTGTTGTTGTTGTAAGGTGAGAGGGTGTCATTGCCGTCTCTGTACCCGTACGTGTCGTGCGACACGGGACTCACGGTGCCTGGATATTCCGTGTCGTTTGTGATATTTGCGTTCGAGTTGGAGTCGAGATCGGCGTGGTGGGATGCGAGTGAAGTAGGCGACATCGCACCGCTATTCTCGGGTGACGTCGGCGATCTAACGTGGTAAAGGTAAAACAAGCGCATGTCGGTGAGCCAGTGACAGAAACATGCAACGAAAAAAAACAACAATGAACGAACATAATAAATTACATAAAAGGTGATTAAAAAGTTAAGAGCTTTCGGTAAAACAATGTTCGTTGAAAATGTACAAATGAAATATAATATATCTACTTGAAATAAGACATCTATTAAACGGTAAGACTACAAAATTGTGTGAATGCAAAACTACGACGACATTAAAAATGTTAAAAATTATAAATTTAATAATTAATCACTGACCTGTCATATATGGAACCGGAACCGTAATTCTGTGATTGGGCTAGATTCCTGTTCATGAGGGTCTCCTGTGCTGGGTCCACAAAACGGAATGTGGAGACACGTCCGAACTTGAGGAGGCATCCATGCTGGCAAAACAAAGAATATGCATGAGTTATATTATAAAACTAAAACACGAGTTTTATCCGTATTGAAATTAAACAATGGAATACATTTTTTACAATTTATTTCGGAACACATTTTAGATGAAAATTGAGATTCCAATAAAAATAACTTTCTAATGCTTATTTTAACAAATTGAATAAGAATGTTAATATTAGGTACTGCAGGCGGTTTAGTTTTATATCATACAAAGCAATAACCGAATTGTTGGTTCGTCTTAGCAATAGGTGTATATATATATATATATATTAAAGTGAAGTTACAGTCTATACACGTCCTACAGATGTGCACAGCACTCCTCTTATTTCTGAGAGGGTTTTAGGGCAAGGAACTCCGCGTTGCAACAACGCGTCGTGTAAATTTAGTATCTCTTTAAATATGTTTTTAATTTCTTAGACTTGCAGGTTTCCCCAAGATGTTTTCCTTCAGCGTCGAGAACGTGGTAAATCAGCACTTAAAAATTGCAATTCCCAATTTCATTGGTACCGGCGGTGATCGAATCCGGCTAGCTCGCGTACTGTGAAATTTACAGCGAGCGCTTAGTGTTGTGCCTGTGCCTACCGCGGCTAGGTATATATATTAGACTTGTAACGGATATTCGGCAATTATTCGGCTACTTTTATCCCGTTCGGTCGAATACTGAATATCTAGCTACTATTCTGCCGAATACCGAATACTTAAGTAAGAGATTTTATTGTAGTCAGAAAATTGGTAAAATGAAAATATTTATTTATTTTATCATTGTTTTTTTTTTGTAATCATTAAAGTAGTCATAGGTATAGGAGAAAGGGGGGGGGGGGGGCAAGACGGGGTCCTTAACGTTTGGAGCCTAATAAAACGCAGATCTTTTTTTTTTAATAGGAAAAGGGTGCGACACATGCGATGTATAACACGAAAATCACAACGAATTTGACAAAAACAGAGTTTTTGGCGGTAGGGCAAAAACGCATGGACTCGCAAGCCCGTCACAGCGCTGATTGATAAACAATACAATAACGCGTCTTTACTAGCCAGAGCGGCTGTGATTGGTCGTTCGTACAACCGATGAGACTCGCTAGCCCGTCTTGCACGCTACCCCATCTTGCCCCCACTGCCTCTACAATCAACTTCCATATTGCAGATATTAAAAAAAGAACTATTAGAGAGATGCACTTGAGTGGAAGATTATGGTGCTGAAAGACTAATTTTTCTTCATTTTTAGGCAATAGTTTACTCCTTTTCTTCTCATAGACAACGCCAGCTTCAGAGAATAGACGCTCTGAATATTAAACACTACTACTTCCTTCCCGGCAGAATACTTTTGCCTAATATTCGGCTGTTCGGTCTGGAATCCCGCAAAATATTCGGTATTAGGCGTGGGGCCGAATATACATTTCGTTGCAAGTCTAATATATATATATTGTATACTCTCCGTTATAGGTATACATCATTCCTGAGACGTAAGTATTAAGTTCGTTATATTGACCCACAATAGAATATAATAATTATTATATATAACACAAATAAATATATTAAATTATTTAGATATATAGAATCGCATCATTGACGGACAGAGTGTGATGTTAGCTTGACCTGTATGCATAATGTATGTTTGAATAATTTTAATAGAGTTTTCACCCCCTTCCGAATCCGCTACTTGAATAATCTGAACTTTTGCAGATGTGTTAAAAGCGATGACAATTTAATACTGCAGTTTTGATATCTACAATTTCTTAATGAATTTGTCCAATTTTGAACGACAGATCTATAACTTTGCAGATTCAATAGTTTTCCTTATTTTAGACGTTTACGAACACGAAATTTACTTTGCTTGCTTTGAAGCAATAAACTAAAAACGTTTATCTTGTTGTTCACTAAATGTCAAGTACATTAAAAGTGAACGTGTAGCATTACACAAAGAATGGGTGAATTCAAATAATAAACGAAAAGGTGCCGCAGTAAACGATTTCCTTCAAGCACTGAAACAAGGGAGCGATATTATGTTAGAGTGACGTAATGTCTGTGCTAATATTGGAACTGTATTATACACAAATATATTATGTAAAAGTTAAATAACAACTTTTATACGTCGCAGTGGTGGGCACAGCTTCCTCTCATTTCTAAGGATTACAAAGAAATTAATCCGCCACTCAACTCCGATGCGTATTCATTCATCCATCGATTACAGCACATAAAAGTCCACTGCTGAACATCAAGAAGGGAATTTGCAATAGTTGCCACGCTTGGGACGCGGGTTTTTAGGACCTTAAATGTCTTCGAAATATTTTATTCTTAGACATCCAGGTTTCTTTTCTTTCACCACCACTTCTGCCATCACCAGGTACAAAACAATTTCATTGGTGCTGGCAATTATCTAAGCCGGGATGCTTGAGTACTGTGAAATTTACAATAAGCGCTTAGCCATTAAGCTGCAACGGATCTTTTAATTATTTCTTGAAATATACTTTAGATGATTTTTTTAATTTTGGTTTACATTTCGTATGTGAAAGACGTATAATTTTTACCAATAATGCTGTTTAATTTTTAAACTTTAGCTCTAAATTCAGATCGATTTGGGTATAAAACTAAAAGTTTTTTAATAGGCCTGAGTATATTAATTGAACTCCAATATGTTATCGTCCAGGATATCATCACGTCTTTACTTCAATCACAAATATTTTGAACTAGTGCAATATAATATATGTATTAGAATAGCTTTTAATAAATAAATATCCAAGTCTTGTGAAAGATTTGGTCAGCCTAGTTTTTGGGGCCGTTCGCATCGTGCGTTAATATTTTAATAGAGCGGCTTTACGAGTTGTATGTACAAGCGTGTTTATGTCATATATTATGTATTTTGCCGAGTATTTTGTATGAATGTGCTCTATAAAGACATATTGACAGTCGAGTGTAAAAATATAGTTAAATAATATTTATTTGCAAAATATGCGTAATGCGTTAAGTAAATGGTAATGAGTACTTATATTTTTGCGATTTAGAAAAGAGTAAATAAATAAAAAGGTCAATTATTAGATTATTCTCGTCTACGTTCGTACAGTTATAAAAGTAAAACAATGAAATTCGTTGCCCGAAACAAAACTTTTAAATTTTCGAAATCAGATCATTAAATGTAAAGATGAAATTAAAATCATCAGGCTCTATAATGTTCTTTAAGCTATAAATCTAATTATATATTTTTTTTAAATATTACCTCCTTACTAGGATTTTCTCCTGTATCATGGGGGCAGTTTCCATACATAAATTTCACAAAGATAAACATCCAGACCCGGAACAATTACTTGTAGTCCATACAAATACTTGTTGCGTGGGGAATTCGAACCCGCGGTCCTTAGCGCTAACTCATTGCTAAGCCACTGAGCCAAGGAACCGTCAAATCAATACTTAATTACAACAAAATTGTAGGGTCTTCGTAGTTTAATCAAAAATGGGTGCTGACCAGCATAGAATAAATATGCCTTAAGCTTAATAGCACAAGGGCTACAGAAAACATCGTGAGGAAATTTTAAATCGATCATCGGGAGGAGGCGCAACGAATTCTTTTCCCCTCTGAACTCGACATGGAACGAGTAGTGATTCGCCGAGTACTCGGCCACCGGGTACTCGGTCTAGATTGGGACGAGTACTCTGCCGAATACAAGGCTTTAAAAAAAACGCGGTAGCGGGCGGCGTGCGGTTATTTTCCTCACAAACAAGACCCGAATAGGTCCGAAAAACTAGTGTTTTTGCATCACAATCTTCCTCTCTTAAATTTTAAATATTAGTAATAATAATTTCTATTATAGATTTTTATGTACGTTCCAAATATTTCTACTGCTTCTCATGTTCCTGATGTTTTAATGTGTCTAATAGAATAATAATGATAAAAACTGGCTTTTTGTATTTATTTTTCTCTGGAATATAATTAGCGGCCGAGTACTCGGTACTCGGCCGCTAATATTCGAAGCTCGGCCGAACCCTAAAAAAAGGCCTAATCCGCCGAGTACCGAATCCAAACCGAATACTCGTCCCATGTCTACTCTGAACCCTCTTAAAAATTAAATTCTTCCTTTACACAGCGGCGAGGTGTATGTAGCGTCGAAATCAAATAAAAACTTATCTCCAAATCTAAGAAGGTAACAATTACGCAAAGATACCTGTAAGCGCTGCGTGTGCATGATCCGACGTCCGTTGACGTAGACGTGTGCGTCGGTGTGCAGCGGCGTCACGCTATAGCCACCGCCCTCCGCGGCTGCGATCACGCAGTGGCGCGGCTGGATCGAAGGTCCGTACAGCTGCAGAGCTGTTCCGTTTCCTGAACCCACCTGAACGAAATAAGGATATTTGAGAAGTGTGTTTTATAATTTAGCTTGTGTTCTTAGGAGTTTTATGTTGCACCTCTTTGAGTATTCTATCGCATCTACCGCGGGCAGTGCTCAGAGGAGTTGTTCGGACTAATTCCACTTCACCAATTTCACGATCGGACATCGCGACAAAACTCACTATAAAATCCATACCATCTGGATGATTGGCGGTCCACCTCTGTGCGATTTACAAGTTATCTTCCTCGCAAAACTTCCTCGTGGAACTACCACCAGCGATTTTTCCGCATGCTCGTTTGCCTCTCTTATATACCTATATATTAGGTCTTTACATATGAAATTGCCGTTTTTAAAGCACGAGCAATTCGCCGAGTTATTCCTGGACGAGTACGACGCATTTACATATTCGTCTGTATTCATTCAACGTAGATCTTTTAAACATGGATGACGTGCGTCTTGTTGCCACGACTTTGTCTACTTGATATTTACAGACACACAAATGTTTATTTGAGGGTTGTGGAGCCCCCCCCCCCCCCCACCGATGAAAGGACGATCTGGTAAGACATACAGGAAGTCGATGGATGCAGATGGCTAAGGACCGTGCATTGTGGCATTCCTTGGGGGAGGCCTATGTTCAGCAGTGGACTTGTGAAAGGCTGTAATGATGATGATGAAATATAATTTCCCATATCACGGGTTATTCTTGATAAAGTTCTATAAAATAGTGGCATCGTTAATGCACTCCATCACAGTAGGTATATTATATTATAAGAAAAATAAAGTTTAAAAGTTCGCGAGTCAAGAAAAGGGTTGCCACCTTTTTTTGAGTAAATAAAGTAGTATATAATTTTCCAAGCTGAAAAAATAAAGTACGACAAGTGAAAATAAAGTATTATTAATTCAACATGATATTTTTTCCCACACATTAACTTTACCTACATTTTATGTCTAAGTTAAGATAACACTGTTCCTTTCATCCCATCCCCTAGTGTACGGTGAAACGTACATATTTCACAATGACTTAAATGTATTTAATTTGTTAACTTAGCACTCATAATAACACAGCACTTTAACGCCCTGTACCCGGCGAGCAGTGCACTTCAAGCATTCATATCAAGCAGTCGTTATCATTTTATCTATCATTATAAATATCATATTAAATTATCATTTTAAATAATAAAAGTGTAGATTAACCCCTACACCTAGCATTCATTAAAGAATAAACTTTGTAAATAACGCTGAATTTGTGTAATGGCGGTGTAAGTCATATCCTCAAGTGGGTGTCGTAAAAGTGGCGAAAGAGGGAAAAAATCAGGAGGTAGGCAGCAGCCTCTTCCTAATAAAAAATAAAAAAACTGCGGTTGCCAACCTAAGTAGGAAAAGCGTGACAACTATTGCCAATATCCCCCCTATGAGAGGGAGACCTATGTTCGGCAGTGGACTTTAATAGGCTATATAACGCTGAAGTGATGGTATGGATAGCAGACGACACGGTTTTGAATAAAAGTACAAAACCATTACATACTACATAGAAAAATATATTATATTAATAATAATAAACATATTTTGTCATTATTGCAAAGCGGATAAAACTGAAAAATATTCTAAATGATTTCCTTACGCATATAACTTATTCTTGTATAACTAGTTGTGTATCATTGACATCTTTAAGCAATGTATGTATATAATTCGTTCTTTTAGTAAACATTATTCATTATTCGTTTCATACCAGAGCCATGCTGCAGCTATATTAGTAGTATAGTTGTAGCACGAATGGGTCGGCTCGACCGGGGAAGGACCACGCTCTTACAGAATACCAGTGTAAAATAGCAGCTTAAGCTGCTGTGTTTCGTATGGTGAGTGTAGAGAACCGGAGACCCTTTTCTTTACTGGAAAAGAGGCATTCCATGTTAGTCCTCACGGGTGACAACGCATCTGCATTTTGATTCTTTATTGAGGATAGATGTAGATGTCTATGGACCACAGCAACCACTTACCGTCAGGTGGAATGTGTGCTCGTTTGTCACCCTATGCCATAAAAAATCATTAAAATAAAACCTTGCCCATTTGACGCAAATGGACCAATACTGTTTTGATGCTAACGTCGAAAGTTGCTGCTAATTCAGCCGTAGATTGAGTATCATCAGCTTCAACAACCGCCTTTAATTCGTGACTGTCGACCAAAGTTTTCGGCCGACCACAGGCTAGACCAAAGAACAAAAGATACAAATCAAGAAAGAATAAAAGAAAAATAAACAAAGAACCCGACGGCAATGGTCCATTGTTAACAATTTAATAAATATATGAAATGTCGAATACTTATATACATTAACACCTTTCATATGGTACCATACATAACACACAATGGAAAAAATTTGGTGTTAGCAAAATGAGGATAATTTCGAATACCTGTGGTTTTAAGATAATTGAAAAAGTACGTTCGCTGCAAAGGTCTTAACAGAGCCCAGCAGCTTCAGAGTGCACATAATATAAATAAATAAAATAAGAAATAAGTGGAACTGGAACATACCTTGTTCATTTATTTAATGTACAATTTGAATAAGAAACAGTAGGAAATCTTTTGCACACATTGAACATGAAGGGGAGATGTAGTGCTCTATTTTTTTTATAAATTCCACACCAGGTGTTTCCTTCTAAATTAAGTAACTAAGGGTTTTCTTTACTTTTACTTATCACCAGAAAATTGTTGTGTGGAGCTTATATTACATTACTAACATTATATTTGATGTGGAATAAAAGGGAAAATGGAAAAGTAAAACGATATAAAAGCACGAAAATTTGACCCTGAACTGTAGTGTAGTCTCCCCTCGCTATAATTGCATGAAACATATCTCGTAAGCCCGTGTACCTACTCAGAAATGAAATATCCGCGATCCCCGAGTTGAAAGCTTTTACGCGATCATATTACCTCCGCTAATCCATACATATTATAAGATATTATAAGAATAAATACATATTATAAGATAATTCGCTTTGTATTTAATGATTTAAGTACTTTGTTTAAGAAAATATTGCTTAGACAATGGAATGGAATAAAATTAAGTTAGTTAAGCGCGATTTTAACGCTTTGAAACGAAAAGGCGGCACATTTTTGGTAAACGTGTCTTAAATTACTTGTCTTATTTGCAATTTCCTTCAAAAGCCAATAATGTGTTCTCGACGGAATGTAATGGCAATTTGCTAAGGTGAGAAATTTTTTGTATAAAAAATTGTACCTTCGTTTAATATTTCAGTTTTCATAGATCAATTTATAGGCAAGGGTGTCTAAGCAAGTTTAACGACATATTAAAATGCTGCTTTAAAAATAATAAAATAATGGAAATAGTATTTGTTGCTTCTTGTTGTAATTATTGGGCAAGTTGCTTGACAAAGACTGAAATATTTAAATAATATAAATGTGTGTTATCGATTAAACTGGTGGTATATATCGGATATTTTCTGAATTGGCATTACTTAATTTGATTTATAAATGAAGAGTTGAGAATTGAAGAATAAAGAAAGAACACATTTAGCTAAATCTAAAACACCACCACAAAATATAGAACGCTATTGTTAGTTGTTACCATTTTATGATTATAACGATGTCAATTTTGTGGTGAAAAACAATAGGGTCACAAAAACTCACAGTGCACCTAATGATATTTTTTTCTATAGGATAGGATGACACACGACCACACAGACCACCTGATGGTAAGTGGGGTAGATGTATATGTCTGTGGCCCATAGACATCTACATCTACTTATACCCGTTTGAGAATCAAAATGCAGGCTCTACCACTTTAAAAAGATATATTTTATTTGTTTTATAAAAACGTTACCTTCACACTAGGATTTTCTCCTGTATTAGTGAAGACAGTTTAAATAAATTTATTGCATAAGGCCTAACATTCAGATTCGGACCAATTATTTGTAGGCCATACAAATACTTGTTCAGTGTGAGATTCGAAACCGCGGCCCTTAGCGCTGCAACTCATTGTTAAGCCACTGCGCCACTGGGCCGTCAAATATACGTGCCACAACAGTCTACAAAAAACTGCTTGCCAACTAGTTCGAAGAAAGCTGCAGGAGTTTTCAATAATAAGTTGAGTTTCCGGTTATACAGGAACACAACATCGTGTACACAGCTGCTTTGTGGCACAAATAGTTGGGTAGGGACGGCTACAATTCGTACGAACTCTAAGACTCAAAGAGAGCCGTACTATCGGTATCCTCGGAAGCCAGTTGATATCTCTTCGACCACCTATTATCCTTTTAGGAATATAAATCATACAGAGCAGCCAAAGAGACATTAGTGACGTTGGAAATGGCCTTATCTTGCTGGAAAAATATGTTGCGGTTGTGGCCAATCAGCTATTTTATTTGTGGACCCTGTATTAACGGACTGAGCGCATCCACAAGCTTAGACGAATGTAATGGTGCCTGATGCAATTCCAGCGGATTATCAGAAGTACAATAACTAAAATTTTGTTTAAATAAAACAAATTTTACGGATTTTATCGCGTATATTAACTTATTTTATATTTTATATTCCCGACATGCATTACAGCACCCATGGTCATGGGGGGCGACTGAGGTGTATAAAGTCCCAATGTCATAGTTAACCACGGCTAGCTCCAGATTAAAAATTATTAATTTTTGTTCCGATCTACGCAGTATGAACTTACAGTATCATGAAGTCTTGCAGTTGTATGCTTGGGTTGGGATTTAATGTTATTAAATGGGGTAGCACCCAGCTATCTTCTCTATTGAAATTAGGATGTTTTTTGATTTCAATAGCCTCGCGAATCATCCTTGAAAGGAATCGGTGTACTTTAGCGAGGATTTGTGGTCTATCAAATTTAATGTAGTGACGGGGGCGATCCTGTACGTGTTCACAGACTGCAGACTTCCCGGAGCGTCGATTCTTCACATCAGCTATGTGTTTAATCGATCTTTTGGTTGGTCCTATATAAGAGAGACCACATTCACAATCAAGCTTGTACACTCTTGCATCTTGCAGAGGAATATTACACTTGACTAATGGTAACAACTGAGGCTAAAGTATGTTTTAATGGAAGCACGCTTCAAGATGTAGCCAATCTTGTCAGTGACAACTCTGATATATGGCAGTACAGCAGGCACTCGCTCGACTGTCGAGTAAAGTGTTCGAAACGTCGGGAATATAAAATAAGTTAATAAATGCGATAAAATCCGTAAAATTAGTTTTATTTAAATGTGTAGTGTTTGGGTAAATATAAGAAATCATAAAATTTTGTTTATTCATATGGCCTTTAATGTAAAAATTTGATTCATTTTTACATAGTATAAAACTAAGTCGCTTCCCGCCGTCTGTACGCTTAAATCTTTTAAACTACGCAACGGATCTTAATGCGGTTTTCATAAATAGACAGAATGATTCAAGAGGAAAGTTTATATGTATAACACATGCATATTATATATTGAATAATTTTTCTGTCCGTGTGTATGTGACTGAACTCCCTAAACGACTGGACCGATTTTGATGAAATATTGTGTGTGTGATTAAGTTGATTAGAGAATGGTTTAGATTCACAAATGGACCCGGTAGGCGTTGTTGTAGAGATCCAGAAATCAACCGTGCGAAGCCGGGGCGGATCGCCAGTCAGAGATATGGGAACTCATTGAAATTCCTAAAACGATTTTCCATTGTACTGCAGAATTTGACTTGTTTAGCAGTAACATTGGTTTATCTAAATGTACAATAAAAATTTGTAGGGGCGAAAATGCAAATTATTCCGAATAACGCGATATATCATGGGTTTGTTGAAATTTAAGAAAGCTACGTGCTATCGCAGTGATTGTCATGTACTGGGGAACGCTCGACATTAATGCTCGTTCTTGATGTCCTTTTGCGCCTAGTTTAATTACTCGGCATTGTGTTTCCGTCTTTTTTCTCAAGCTCGTTAAATTAAACTGTGGCATTTTAAGACGTCAAATGACAGTGTAAGAATCGTCTGTTTCATTCTCGCACGCAAAACGGGCGCAGCGGTCCATCGCTACTCAACAAAACAAGCCCGTCAGTGTATGCGTTTGACAACAATCTCCTCACTCGTGTTTGGCGCGAATTGGGCAAAACAAAAACTAAAACTATTCTTCCTTCACAATGCAATTTTTTAATAGAATAATAATGACAAACGAGCACGCAGTCCACCTGATGTTAAGTGTATGCTGTGGTCCATAGACATCTACATTTATCCTCGATTAAGAATCAAAATGGAGATGCGTTGTCACCTCTGGGGACTAAGATAAAATGGCTTATATAAAAATATGCGATATAGTAAAAATGGCGATAATTTTGATGTTATCGCCTTGACAGAGACGTTTATGACTAGTTCTGTGTCCGATCGTGAAGTTTTTTCCTCAAGCTATGTTGTTGTTCGTAAAGATAGTTTAGGTGACGTTGGTTGGGGAAGAGTATTGTTTACTGTGCGTGATAGCTACGGGGTTCGGGTAATTTCGGATATTGAAGGCAAGACACCCTGATAAAGAATTATTATTTGCACTTGTGAGCTGCAAAAATGTAAAGTTTTATGTTGTGTGGTGTACCTACCACCAAATTATTGCGACGATCAGTTTATTGATGTTCTGACCTACATAGAAATGCTTTGTGTACTTATTCAAATTAGAACGTATTAGTATTATTGTTGTGATTTTAATCTTAATTCTTGTAGCACTAATGTTAAAACTCAACATTTTTTTTTTGTAATTTCTGTAATCTACAGCAACATAATAATGTATTTAATACTCGAAGTGGCTTGTTAGATCTCGTGTTGAGAGACTATGACCGTAAACAACTGGAGGTGTTGCCTGGATTGGAACCAATCGTGTCAATAGGTGAGTATCACCCTTCGTTAGACGTCAAAATCAACCTCTCATACAGGGAGTTCTTGCCTAGGCTGCGGTCTTCGCCAGATGAGAGTTCGGATGCGATCCCTGATTGGAATTGGCGTAAGGCTGACTTTCAAAGTCTATATGCTGCGTTAGCTGGGTTAGATTGGTCCGATTTAATGACTTTTACAGGCGTAAATTCGGCCGTAGCTTTTTATTTATAAACATATTGAAAGAAATTATTAATTTATATGTACCAAATAAAAAGCTCTTTCCAAATCATCGCCATTATGTCTATTCCAAATGGTTCACGCCTTAAAATCATCGTAAGTATTAAAAAAATATTTTTACCTGAAGAGATTTAAGCAAGAAGAAGAACTGTTTAGCTTTTATCGATGGAGGGTTAAGATATTAATTGACAACGCATATGAGCAGCACCTTAAGTTGATACAGAAAAGCATAATTGACGATCCGGTATTTTTGGAAATATGTTAGTGATAAAAAGAAAGAAAGACGACATACTGAAACGTATAGTTATAAGGATAAAAAAGGAACAGGTCAAGATGCGGCTAATGCCTTTGTTGAATATTTTGCTCACTATTTCATAATGAAAAGCCCCTATTAAATTGTGTAGATGCCTAAAGTGAGGCTAATTCACAAGTTAAGGTGATGCCCATCTCAGTCAGACAAGATTGGCAATAAAACGCCTAAAGCTACTATTTGGTGGTAACCCTGATCGCATCCTTGCTTTTCTGGTCAAGGATTGTGTGCTAGCTCTTCGTTCGTTTTAATGTCCCTTAGACAGGCTAAATATCCAGAACAATGGATACTATCTAGGGCTAAGGTGACACGTGTTCCAAAGGGAAAACGTACAAGATGTTTCTGCCTTTACACCTATTGCATTACTTTCGGTTCTGGCGAAGATATTTGAAACCATGTTGAACATTCGCATTAGCAACAGTTTTGCATAACAGTCAACATGGGTTTCTAAAGAATCGCTCAACGAATACTAACTTAATAGCACACGTGGACTATGTCTGTGCAGAGATGGATTCTAGGAGACAGGTAGACGCCTCCTTTTTCGATTTTAGAAAGGCCTTTGACCTGGTGAGTAATGACATAGTTTTACAGAAGCTAGCTAAGTTGGGTTTTATTCCGAAGCTTCTTCAATTTTTTGCTATTAACTTAATAGTCTTGTCTAGCACTTGTCTACGCTGGTATTCTGTGAGAGCGTGATCCTTCCCGAATTGAGCCGAACCACTGGTGTTACAACCATGATAAAGTTGCAGCATGGCTCGACCACGTATGAAAATATCGGAAGTATCTGTAAAATCACTGTAAACTCATAAGATACATATAGTGATAAAGTTTCTCTTTTTCTCTCTCTCACTCACCTCGAGCACGTCAGTGAGGCGCATGCGGCGGCCGTTCTCGAGCGCGGTGCCGTCGGGCGCGACCTCGACGAGCAGAGGCTCGGTGCCTGGGCGCGCCCCGCCGCCACCGCCGACCTTCTTCTTCCGGCGCCGTGGCTGCGCGTCCGCCGGCCGCCGCCGCACGTGGAACATGATGGAGCCTGAACAATAATACATATGCGTTTTACCGTTGGTGTGATGAAGATTATAGCTGCTTTCAATAATGCGCCAATTCATCAGAGACGCAAGAGTTGAACATGTACAAACACAACCAAAAGCGCTCAACACGACGGAATCGAATAGTGATGTCCTATCTGCCACCAGCCCGTAATACATTAGACGATAGTCAGAGACTCATTAATCGATCAGCAAGGTTCACAAAGTGCAGATGAGGTTAGTCATTTGGAGAAACTTTGACATATTCCCCTTTACACACCAAACACTATACAGTATACACACATAAAGCATGCCGGCGTAATAAACATATTACATGAAGCAATCTCGAATAGATTGGATGGCAACTTTAGTTTAATAACTAAACATTTAAAAAAATTAAAACCCTTGTAATACTTGAATAAACCGAAGTCAAAAAACTATAATAATTTCCACATAATTTAATAGCACCCTTGTAATCCGTCAAATTCTATCGACGGATTAAAGCCCTGCCTTCAGAAGTTATTAAATTGTGGAAATTATTTAAGTCTTTAGATTTATGCCGGCTGGTTTTACTTTTTTTTAAGTTTAATTATTTAACGCTTTTTAGTGGACTAAACAATAACTCAAGCTAAAGGTGACAACTAGAACGTAAACTATAAAGTTCATTACGCATAAAAATTTTATACCCTATTTTCCCCCACTATTCCATATATTGGAATAGTTTTTTACAAATTTAAATAGAGGTTATATCGATTGGTGGTGGATATAGTTTACTCTATTAAAAAAAGATTCATTAAAATTGGTTCCCAATCAACGCTGATATCACGTAACGAACATACAATTTTTTTATAGAATAAAGGAGACAAACTAACAGTCCATCTATGTACATGTATCCTTAATTATGAATCAAAACGTATGTATATGCGTTGTCAGCTCTCAGTACTAAAATGGAATGTCTCATTACCAGTAATAATATAATAATAAGTCCGGTTCTCTATACCTGCGATATGAAACACAGCAGAATTAATTAATTACATGTAAATAAACAAAGTTTACGCTGGTAGTGAAAGTATGGTCCTTCCCCGGTCGAGCTGATCGCGAGCACAATACAGCTTTAGCATGGTTCTACCACGTTAAAATATACTATCACATTAATAACATCTTCCTTTTCGTAAGTCTATTAAAAAGGAACACTAGTAAGTTAGTGTACCTTTGAAACATAAATGGATTGTAGATACCGGCCTAAGGTTCAATTAACAACACTACAAATTTTTTAAGGGTTAGATATGTTTGATTTGAACTTATCTTAAACAAAATCGCATAATAAAGCGTTTCATCGGTTACGGGTCCGATTAGACCGGTGAATGCTTTAGAAGTGACAGTTTGTCATCCATATCACACCATATATCATCTTTAAAAGTCCGCAGCTGAACATAGACCCCCATAGATTGCCTCATAGGAGAAAATTCGTCATATTATATAACAAACATGACGTAAATATGTATGACGGTAAAGTAAATATAATAATAAATATAAGCAAATATGACGGATTGGCAACCGTAGTATTTTTATTATTGAGTTGTTAAGTATATGATCAGCCTGCGGCAGTTAACAGCTGGACATAGGTCTCTCTCAGGAGCCCCACTTAGAATTGCTGCTGATTCTGGACCACCTTCGAAAACAATCAAGCAAGATGTAATGAGCCGATAATTCCTTAACATTGTTGCCAATAGCTCTTTCTGCAGTGGTTGTTCTCCAGCTTTTAAGAGCATCCTTGTAACTTCGTCCTCTTCGTGGTTTTTTCAATATCATTTATGATATGTATGTATACGAGTTTATAATATATTTCATTAAAGTTAAATTATTTTTTTTTATCACGATAACACGATTTCGAATAACAAGAGTTCGTTGTTTCGGACAGTAAGATCAGAAAATATTTACGTTCATCATTATGTATAAAATAAATAAAATAAAAATTAATTTTATAAGCAAATGCCACTCCATCGCTTCCACAAGTCATTAGGGATGGAGAGACCTTGTAAGAAGCGGCGAGTAGTAGAAGAGTAGTACTCACGAGTAGACAATTTTTCTCTCAATAGTTACAATTTAACCTTACGAAATATATACAAAAGATAAAAAAAGTCTAAGCAAGCTTATTATTAAAGCTTATTATTATAGCATTTTTATTGTATTGGGTATTATAAATTAGACGAGTATTTAAAGGCAAATAGTCATATGAATAACTATCTTCGTAAGAATGTTTTAAGCGCTTTGAATTTATGCAAAGGCAGTTTTTTTTTTATTTATTCAAAATAATAAACCTGATCAACAAAAAAGAAAATTTTTAGCACTCTAGCAAAAACCACATACGGTTTAATTTATAAAATATAAATTACGAATGGTATATTACCAAATTTATAAGGAAAAATCAGTAGGTATCAAACACAACAAATCATGCAAAAATAAATTATAAATCTATCCGCCGTTAGTTTTATAGGTCTGTACTTTGGAACAGCAAGTTTAGATTTATTTCGCGTGTTAAAATTATGGGCATGACTCATTTCTTCAAAGGTATTAAAATATTTAATTACATAAATAAAATTGCTAAAATAAATTTTGATGTTTATTTCTTTAAAAAGTTCTATGAGCAAGTCCCTTTGTAGAAATAGCTGAAAATAAACCAATCTTGCTGTATTCATATCCGTTAGAAGCCTAAACTTTTTATTACACACACGCGGTTCTAATTCTTCTTGACAAAATCTCAATAGGAGGTTCCCATTGTAGGCAAGAGTCAATTGTAATTCCGAGAAAAACTGTAAAATCTACTAAATCAGGTATTTTATCGTTCAACTTAGTATAAGTTGTAACCAATCTTACACTTTGCAAAGAAAATTTAATGCACTTTGTTTTATTAGCATTGAAGCGAGTTGTTAGGTTTAAACCAATACTTGAGATAAGTACAAAATCGTTTACATCGTCAAGTTATCTTTTAACTCCATCAATTTATAATATATATATAATACTTCCACTAACAGATGTACTTAAATGTACTGTGTTTTGTAAAATACGTATCTTAAAATACCCTTAAATATCATCAAAATATGGAAATTTTTAATGCTATTTATATATTATGTCCACACAGTTATTGTTATTGTATCGATATGTTTTTTTTTAAATATAAAGTAAAAACCCTGTAAATGGCAGTGGAAAATGTAAATATTTACTAACTTTATAATGTTACAAAATGCTTTTGGTTCTGTAGACAATAAATTAAAAAGAGAGTTATGGGCCCAATATTGATCCTCGGGGCACGCCCATAATTAAGGGTGCTCCAGGCTTCAAATTTTATATGGTTAACCGATTTTTAGACGCCATAATGCCTTAATGATTTCGTTTTTATGTATATATCCTTCGACAAATTGTACAGAAAACCGAAGTGAACAATCTGCCACTGTCTTACGTATACAAACTAGGAAAAATTTAGGCGGTGCTGTATGTAGGTTCCTTCAGCGGAGTCAGATTGGCTGTATATTGAAGTGGTATTTGTACAGTAGGGAAAGGTTTTCGAGTGGCAACCTCGTACCGATTAACTCCTTCTACCTAGATGGAGTAACAACCTGGCAAGACATGTTGTTAATCAGCAGAGGTCATATAAAGGACTGTAACGATGATGATGATTGATGTTTAAAATAATGATTGTTTCTCCTTTAAGTAATTTATTTATATTTTAATGAGTAGTTAAGAATTTCATCTTCAAGTGCGGCAAAATTATGCGTGGGCACGTTATTTACGAAATTAAACTGCCCAGCGTTAATAAATTTTAATTTTGGCCAAAAACAGTAACACACTCTACCCTCAATCAAGACGAGTGTCAATAAATGACGAATAATACGATTCCAAGCTGATAGAAGTTTAAAAGAGAGACTCTTCAGGATAGGACCGTGTCAAGTGTGAAGAGGTGTAAGGGAGTCAGACGATGGGATCTGTCAACATCATTAGCGATCCAAAGCGCTTCCCAGTTCAAACTTGTTTAAAAGACTTCGACAGGAATATTTAAAATGTCTTAATTCGCTTTAGACGTTCAACCGGAGGAATGTGAATACATTTTTATAAGATAATTTTTAGTGAGGTATTACTTTTTTAGGTAGTAGAGGTATTTACTTTATTAACATTTATGAAGCAATTAAACTTCTTTAATCAATAGTCTAATCAGAGCATTTAAAGGAAAATTGATTAATCACAGCTACAAGAAGTGCTCAACAAAACTTTACTAGAGTTGTACTAACCCTGTATTAGGAAAGTAGATTAAAATTTTATATGTGTTTTTACTACTCGCTCGACGAACACGCAAAACTGTGACAGTACATAACATTTGGGTTCGCTCAAGTGATAAAATCAATAACGGACCAAGGAAAGGTAAAACGAAAAAATAAAGTATTAACGACGCTATCAATCCACTTCGGGTCTGTGGAACCTCAATATTAGCTACTCATGTGGAAATGTCAATCTATATAATGAATACCAGTGGTCCTAGTAGAATATTAATGAATTATTAGGCCAATGCCTAATTACTTTCATAATTGAATCGACGTCATGTTGATGTTATAATTCACCTACCCTTGTTTATTACCATGTTGCTCAATTTCATGTATTCAAGTCTTTAATTCATGTCGTAAGCACACGTTATAATACAACGCTAAAATCATATAGATTTTATGCCATAGATTAAGCAATGTTTGCAATAATTTGTAAACAATTATTGTCAATACTAACAGAACATATTGTTTTATGTGTTACAATAGATCGCATAAAACCATAATTGTTGTTGCCATAACCCTGGCTTATTTATATAGATTAGTTGGTAAGATGCTTTACACACTGTACACGGCAAGAGGCAAAATGATAGATACCCTTAAAACATCACCATCAGAGCTACTTGCTTAATATTTCTGAAAACATTTGGCTTAGTTTATTAAAAAAAACATTAACGTATTTATTAAATTTG